TATTGTGGCACACTCAAAAAGTGGCAAGACAACAATGAGCAAGTTCCTGATTCCATCAAAGAGCGTTGCCTTTCCATGGGGAAGAAACCCACCAAAGCACCAAAGGGCGGCCCCTTGAAGGGCAATTGTCTTCCAGCTATGTCCCGATTGGTGGCTGTGACAAGCCTTGACACGGGCTCTCGCTCTTCTCTTAACGCTAAACTAGGTCGGGGTCCTTCCATTAAGATGCCCAGCAAGCCACAAAAAAAAAACAAAAAAACGGACGGCGCTGGGCGGGGGGGGGGGGAAGGGCTGCCTGCACTCCGAAGGAAGCGGGCGACTATCTTATCGTGGAATGGTATAATTCTTGCTTCACCCCCCCCCTTTGAGGACCCCCCGAAGCACACCTCAACGCCCTTCTCAGGGAAGACAAACACCAGCCAAACCTGGATCTGCGTAGGCGGCAGCAGTGAGTTTTATGGTTCTTGCTTCGGCAGGACGAGCAGCCCCTGCCGGGCTCTGCCGCGGAGGCATTGCTCAAGGCATCGGATGGGGCAGATCCTGTTCCCCCCCCCCCCCCCCGGTTGCTCCGTGACGCCTCGCCGTTCGCGGATCGCGGAGAAACAAAACTAATTTGGGAGGGCCATCCAGCGGCCATCTGAATCGCGTTCCCAGCTGGAATTTGTGATGCAGAGCAGTTTGTGCAACAAGTCGGGCAACGAGCCTGAGGTGCTAGTGCGTGAGTTTTGGACTTCGGCAAAGCCGGATTTTCTTCGGCGGGCTGGCGGCACGTAGCCAAAGCCATTATTCGTTTGAAGCGTTTGAAGGTGGGGATGTATCACCAGGAGCCGAGAGACAAGACGATGCAGCATGGCACGCGTGATGGCCATTGATGGTCGCCCACTTCAAGACTATACATGCCACCCAATCAACCCATTCAAGCGTGCGGTGGAGAAAGTTTACGCAGATCTTAGAACTTGCGTTTTCCATGACAGCCCGTCGTTTGCGGCTTGGGTCGGCTGCAGAGAAGATGCGCAGGATCATGACCGGAGTTTGGAACAAGTTGCATAAAAAACCAACCTCTAGCCCCCTTGAAAGCGAAACCACCAGGAAGGTGTTTAAGCAATAGTTGTTAAAGCGGCATAAGAATTCAGTCAATTTCCTAGGGATTTGTCATGTGGCGGGCGTCCTTAACTGAAGTGGGGCAGGGCGCGGCCAACGAGAAAGCTTGAAGACACAAACTTTTGCCAGTTGAGTATCTTTTAGAGGCGCAGCGTTGAAAGGGCGATTTGTCTATAAAAGCTGCATAATTGTTGGCTGCGTCGCTTTCATTTTGTGATGTTCTTCCGTTGTCTTTGGAGCAGCGCTCTCATCACCTACTGTACTCTCTTGGTGGTTTGGGTTTGAGGTGTTCCAGCGTACCTCGTCAGTTGGTTTCAAGAGAACTCGGAGCTTAAAATGCAAGTCCAAACCGCCAATTCCGGGAGAGCTTTTTGAGGGTACCTGCGAAGCCGCTTTCCAACGTCCGAACCACCAATCCGAATTGGGTTGTCACTGCTGGTGTCCCTTTTCATGCTCTTCAAACCGCCCTATACAAGCAGGGCACCCTCAAAAATGAAATGACAATCGCCGAACTAGTTGAGGTTTTGTTCTGCACCAGCCGGCGCTTTCCCCTCATCGTCCTGGCAGGTGGGGCGGGAGATGTTGGGCCCAGACGCGCCGGTGGAGTGTCAGCAGACTCCCTTCCCTTCAGCGCCTCGGCACCTCACGCAAGTGATCCGAGTGAGCGGGCAGTGGAATCGGGTCCCTTCATGAACGCACTCCCAAAATCCGAGATTTGGTTTGGTTGGGCTCAAAACCGTACAGAATCAAAACCCTCAACCCCCTCCCTTCATCCACCTCCAAAATGATGGGTTCAGGGCGGGAGGTGAGCCCAGCCCAGACCTCCAGTGGTGCCATGTTGACCTTTTGGAGGACAATTTTACAGTCAAACTGCCAATCAGGGGGCACTGTTTTTCCCACGCCAATGTACCAGTCATCCGCACCAGCATTGACAGTCGGGCGACGTGGCCGGGGGCAAGCCGGAGCGCGTCAATAACGCTCTTCCGAGGTGAAGGTGCCGGGGGTGAGCTTGCAGAACTTGCTGGTGCAGCAGGTCCAGCAGGCTAAAGCAACAGTGGGCAGGGCTGTGCCGCTTTAACACATTGCTTAAACACCTTCCTGATGGTTTCGCTTTCGGAAAAGCTGGAGGTTGGTTTTTGCAACTTGTTCCAAACTCCTGTAGCTGACCCAAGCCAGAAGTTCACCGCTTTGCATTTGTCCACTTCGGATTAATCCGGACCCTGCTCATCAAAGGAACCCTGTGGATCATGTTCTCACTAATTGGATCTAACTAGGCTATTTCGGGGAACCACCCCGGACTAGCCCGGTGCTCCTGGTGGTTTCCACTTTTGGAGGAGAACACCCCCTATTCAAAGAACAGGTTTATTAATCCAGGGTTCCTGTTAAGTAAGGGGAACACAGGGTACATACCATTCATAAAGTGCCGATACAGTGCCTGCATATACCAGGAGTAGTGGTTCGGGTGTAGTGGTAACCTGATGTGTTCACTAGCTTCCAGCCCCCGATCCCTGGTAAATTTAAATGGTCTTATTAATTGTTTATGCCTTGATATTGGGAAGCCAGCCACTCTTGGGGCTCACTTTGCACCCCTCACCAACAAACATGGCTGTGTGCATGTTTGTTGGTGGGAGGGACCTGGAAAACAACCGGAGGTTCCAATGGCCAAGCACCAACCCGAACCACTAATTGATGAAGGCTTGCCTGGGATTGGCAACCTGAGGAATGGGCAAGTTCCAGGTTTGTTGGTGGTGGGCAATTCTCCAGCAACAAGTTGAACTTGCACAGGGCCCCACACTGGCAAACGTCTAGTTTACTCACTGGTCATGACCCTTTAGTGGGCTTGTTAGATCGGGCATTGTTCCTGCATGATCCCCTCAAATGAAATTGGGGAAGGGGGTGCTTTGTATGATGGACAATTAGAGTTTATTTTGCAGCCACCTTTTAGGGTATTGGTTTTCCGGCTCTAGGCCACACAATAGGCTATATGTGACCAATCGAGTTTAATTTCTAACTCCAGTCCCCCTCGACGAGAGGTAGAAATTCAGGACCTTCCCCCACCCCACTCCCTCAGAAGGGAGGAGATGCCTGATGTCACTGGCCAGATGAAACTCGCGCGATTTCCGAGACGCGTGGCTCAAGAGGCGTGTACAGAGAGATGACAGATGAGGCCAGTGGAGGGGCTTTGAATCGGGGGCTTTTCGGCGCGACCCCTCGAGGCTTACCCGAAATGGAAGGGGCATCTCAAAAGCGAGCTTGTGGATTCGGGGGGGTGTGGCAAACTGAGCGCCCCGCAGGATTCAAAGTGTACCCAAAAAAGAAGCCCAAAAACATGGGCGAGGTCCTCTTCTGGAAACCGCAACTTTGACCCCCACCCTGCGTGAAACCGGTTTTTGGCCATGTGAGGGTTCCGACTTGGGCATCGCCTTGAATCATCACTAGCTGTTCCAGGTTTGATTCATCGCTTTGAGATGGTGTTGGGACATATCAGCAACCCCCTGTCAACTTCGCAGATCTCGTGGGGAAAGCTTGAACATGGAGTTGGGGCCCACCCCCCCCCAACCTCAAGTCCGAGACCTGGCAGCTCTCAGAAGCTCAGTCTTGGGACCCTGTCGCGAGGATGTTGTACCAGAGCAAGCGCGAGCCACTCGGCGAGAATTGCCACGGAGCGGCCATGGAGCTTTGATGGAACGGGATTGTATCCAACCCAGCTAATCGAGGTCTGGATCAGGGTCTCAAAATGTTTGGCAAACCCTCGAGTGGGCCTTAAACTCAATTCCAAAAATGGGCACCATCAAGCAATTACACTTTTATATGGAAACGGTTCCGAACCGATCCTTGGACTTGATGATTTCCCCAAGTTGGTGTATGTTTGGCATTCTCCAAGCATCCTTTCAGCATGTTGAGCCGATATGTCTTAGCCTGGGGCTGGCCCAAGGTGGCTTTGGATACCATGCTCCCCGGTGCTCAGCTTGGTTTTCTGGGGCTAGCCTTAGAGCATGGCCGTTGTGAGCTGTGTGTTTCGCTGCTGCACCTTTGCTTTTTGCGCTTTTGAATCTCTCCACTCCAAGTGGGAACTGCAAACATGTTGCGCAGCAAGGCAGACAGACAGATGTGAGAGGTATGTCAAGTATGGGCGCCAGAAGCCAACAGAAGGTGTCCAGATTCGTTCGTACGCTGGTCTTTGATGTGCGGCCCCTTAGATCATTTGGAAGCCCAACTGCATTTCCACCAACAAGGTAGGTGTTTGTTGTTTGTTGTTAACAAGTTTGTTTTTTCCCTCCGGGGAAGTAGTACTCATTCTCACTGGCACAAGATTTAACGATGTAACACTTTTCAAGGCAACAACCAACGTTCATAGCTGAGGTTGTGTTCCTGTTCATGTGTTCTGCAAACTTCTCGCCAAAGAGACAAATGCAATACCTGGACGAAAGATTCGCAGGAACTCCTATGGTGCCTTGGGGGGGTTCTGACTTGGCGGTGAGTAAGAAGCCAAAAGCGGACGGCTGTTTATGGTTTGCTCGTTTTCCCCGAACCCTCTCCCCACACATATTTGACACCCAGTAAGAGCTTCCTGGGGAGGCCGTTTGTTTAAACCTCACCGGCCAGAGTTCCTTGATTGGTGGTTCGGATTGTTGGTTTGGGGATTGTTGGTTCTTACAGAGGCCAAACGGGCAAGATAGACCCCAACCTGCAAGCCACATTTTTTTTATCAGCAAACCCTTGTTTGGCGAATCCACTCCAGAAGTGGGTTTCCCACCAAAGAAAGCGCACCTCAAACAATCACGCACCCACATGTTTTTGCACCCAACCTGGTTCATGTGTCAACCCATGTGGTTCAATTTTCCTGTGAGACCATTTGTTCAAACGAATACCCAACTTGTGCAACACATCCGAAGGCCATGTCCCCGAAGCTGTCGGCGCAGTTGTCGGAGAAGGGCCTGACTTGCATCCAGCCAGTGCTCGAAAACCTGGGGATCCTCACCTCACATGGCCGAGCCCCCAGCCGAGAGGAGTCCAAACAACAAGCGATGCCTCCATTCGAATGCCCTCAAAGTCCCCCCTTGGAGTCCTCATGTTGGTTTAGACGCTCCTGCGCTGACCCACGTCTAGCGGGAAGTGTGGAATCTATCACCCTTGTATCCCCACTCAAGCCCCGTCAACGCAACCCCTCGGCTTGAGGCTTGGCGCACCTCAGCGCCGAGGAATTCTCAGAGACCTGCCACAGGCAGTGGGGCGCGATTGAACGCATGGTTTTTCAATTGGTTGTGTGTGCCTGTGTGCGTGTGTGTTGTGAGGGTGCCGCTGTTTGGGTACCCGATTTTGGGGATCCACACGGGGGGGAAGCCGCCCCATTTGTGGGAAGTTGTTTTGGGGCACGACCTACTGTGCACGGGCAAAATCCCGCACCAGGTTGGGAGTCTGGGATGAACCATCCCCCATGAAAACTGGGATGAGCCACTCCCAACTTCTAATTGGTGCGACGCGGACTTTGCAACGACCCATGGCTCTTGGGTCGCCGCTCTCCGTCCCTCTCCACTTTTGTTGCTACGGATCTGATCTACGTTTTTTGAAGCGCCCTCCTGGGAGCCTACACAATTAGACACGGGTTGCGGGGTGGTTGAACCCCTCGGTTTGTTGGTAAAGATTCGCGGAAGCTATGAGCTGCATCGCTCCTCCTCTTTTGAAGAGTCGACCCCTTTTTTTTGAGGGTTGATCCAACCAGCCACACGGGAACGGCCCATGTTCAAGGTTTTTTTTTGTTTTTTTGCGGACCTGCTTGTTTACTTTGTTTGCTCTAAACAAGATTGACGAACAGGTTTTTGCTTTTGTTGCTTGATTGTTGAGTGACTGAAAGGCGGGCTATCAAAAAGAAGTTTCTTGGTAGAACATGTTTCCCTGAATTCATCACCTGTTGGCTTGGCAGAATTCTGGCAAGAGGGTATGTCATTATGTGCATTGTTCGTGTTTGTTTGTTTTTCTGCCAACGCATGGTGGGGAATTGAACGCAGAGTTTCGACTTGCTTTTGCTGCTGTTGGTGTGTTGTGGTTTGTTGCTTCCTTGGCCCTCTTTATCTTCAAGTGGGGGCCGCAAAAACAAAACACTTGCTAATATGACAGAGGTTGGGGTTGTATTTGGGTTGGGGTTCCCAGTACATTTACTACGCGGGGATGCAAACAACACAATGAGGGTGGAATTCTTCAGGGTATGGTCATCAACAACCACTTGGTATTTATCATTAGCGCTATTTGCTGTTTGTTGTTAACACAAGTCTTCTTAAAGCGTGAAGTTTCAAGTGGGCTTTTGGTGGTTGATGTTTCACGGGAAATTCGGGGAAACCTGAAAAACAAAAACACAAAAAAGCAAGGCTCCGTGGCGCCCACTTTGGGCCCGGGCATGTGGCGGCGCTGCGAGTCCTCCGCACGCAGCAGGTGGGTTCACCCAGAAGGGCGGAGGTTTCGCCCAGCTTTGGCTGCTACTTGGATCTTTGGACTCACCTTTGGCTGGTTGGTTTCGCCCATTTTTGGCCCACCTTTGGCTACTTGCTATTTCGGAAATGGTTGCAGTAGATGAGAATCCCCGCTGAACCTGCAAAAAGTGAACTTCTTGGGCAGGGGGCTATTGCAGGGGGGTTACGCAAAACATCCACCATTTTGGGTGGTGTTTCCGTAAAGCGCTTTCGGACGGCCAACCATGCTCAGGGGCGCAGATCCTGTTCCCTTTGAAGTTCAGCCCGCCTTCTTCTCGGGGCTTATCCTCACCTTTCCTGAGCTTGGGTTTGGGGTTGGCCACGTGGAAGCCCCCGCCGCTGTGTTGAATTCCTCGAGAGCTATTGGTCTCTCTGGATTGTTCCGTACTCCCAGACCTTGAGTTTTCTTTTGCAGTCCCTTGTGGACTCCATACCTCAGTTTTCGGAGCAAAGAAACATGCCCATTGTGGTGCCAAACAACCAGGAGATACACAAGTGGCGCCTCTCTTCTTTGAATTCATTGGGGATAATGTGGGTTTGCCTTTGACAGGATGACATATTTTCTACTTGGCTGCCTTTGCTTGGTCGCAATTGTGGCTATAAATATTGATGGGACTTTCTCAGTTGATGCCCTCCAGTAACAGTCACTGCCGCCCGACCGACCGACCGACCGCGACTGGACTCTGGGCCAGGCCGACGCGGCGCCAGAGGCGCCCGGCGCGGGCGCCAAAGATTTCGCGCTCTCGCCGAAGCTGCGGAAGGTGCTGGCGGGCGCCGGGCTGTCGCGCACCGAGGCACGGATCACAAAGTGCGCTTGGAGGGAAGCCGTTGCTTGGTGTCTCGTATGACCTGTAGCCGTTGGACAATTTGAAGAAGGGCTACTTTTCCACCAGCCAGCACGGTTCAAAAGGGACTTCAATGGGAAACCAGCCATTTGAATGGGAATTTCCTAACAAACAACGGGATATACCGCCCAGAGGAAGAGCTTGCGGCTTCGGCAGGCAGTGCTCTCGCAGTGCGGGGTGCGGACCTGCGCCTGCCTGGCTGGCCTCACGGCGCCTTGGGCTGGGCAGAGGGGGGGGAGCTGCAAAAGGGGTGGGAGGGGGGAGGTGGAGCAAAAGAATAGTACAAACAATTTGGACCCTGCTTTGGGGAGGGGGAGGGGGGTCTGGGAAATCTCCACGGCCCGAGTTTCTGGACTCTAGTCATTTATTGGGAAGATCCTTTGAATAGCAAACGGCAAATAACAAGTTAAGATGTTTTGGCCAATCCACTCTCCACCAGAGAAATCGGCTTGGCTTTCATTGCCCGGGGCCAACGTTACGCTCTTTCGCCGACGGGGTCCCTTCCCAGCCTTGAGATGTCTCGAAATGTGGATGGATGAGGGCTTTGGTTCCTTCACTGAATCAGGTGCGTTTCCCGTAGCTTTGTCCATTCCTTCTACGGCGCAATCGCCCAGGGCATGAAATTTTCTCAAGGATCTTCATAAGATCCCCCTCCAAAGAGTCTTAGCCAAACAAGGCCAAGAAGTCGGCTGACGACATGGCCAAGTCTGGAAGACTATGGCCATGCGTCAAAATCCCGTACCCCCAGCGAACATCCCAATCCCCACTAAAATAGGTTCAACAATGGGTGGTGAGTTCACCTATCCCAAACTGGCATCCCAAAACGGTTTCGAACCCCATGGCCATATGCAGTGCGGCGCATCAGCTGAGCGTTTAGGAGGTGGAGGAGACCTGCCTGGCGCTGCAGGCGGGGGGCTTCGACCTGAGCTCCGTGCAGGCGGGGACCCAAAGAAGCGCTTCGTTGTGGGAGGCTTCTTGGGAAACCCCAAGGAAGGACCAACCAAATCACCTCGGCGCTGGTGGCGTACCGCTCGGCCGCCGACCAGGACGCGGCAACGGCCTCAACCCTCCGAAACAGAAGCGCTGAGCAAAATTCGCCCGAAGGCGATTCGCAGTGGCCAATTGTTTGTTAGGGATGATGGCAATCCGTTTGCGAACCGGTATAAGAACCATGTCAACAGAACCAATAGGCAATGGCTCACATGGGGAGTTTGGTAGCGGTGAGCTGGCTTCTGGGTACTGCAAGCTTAGCCTCGCTGTAGTTCCAGTTGTGTTTTTTGGCGGGTTTCCCACAAAGCCGTCAACCTCAGAAAGGCTTCTACTGATTGTTGACCTTTGTCTGCAGGGTCACTGGATGTAACTGGATGGCCCAGTTGCGTGATCCTTTTGATTATTTCACCATGCTTATGACATCCACATGTATACCATTTGGTTTTGAAGTTCCTAAGCACCCTTAGTGCATGTGTAGTGTAGTGGTTAGCTAGCAAATCCATTAATTAGCTCACATATCATGAGATGGGAAGCTGCTACCGACCAGACAAGTACCACTGAATTTGGTTTAACGTGCGAGGGCTGACTATAACATGAACCATATATGAACACGTATGAAGCCCTAATTCAATCAGTTACTGTAGTTCTTTCACCGCCAACTATTGCTTCACGGCAAGCCCGCACATGGAGCCGGTGGCTCTCCATGCACTTTGCCTGACAAATTCACCGCAACCGGACCGCAGGCTTTCCGGAGCCTTTGCGACCGAGAGAAAGCAGCGCTTCAGCCGCTTGGTTTTAGCCAGTGCGCTCAATTCTGTGGGGAGAATTGTTGAGTGCTATTGGGTGTTTTTGGGATCCACTACGTGGAATCAGCCAAAGGCCACATGTCTGCTCGTGCATAGAACTTCTGGTTTGAACCCCCGAGCTGTTGATCACACAATGTTTGTTTTCGTTCTTCTTTAAGCACGCATGTGTGGAACATGCCAGTTTTGGGGTTCGAACCATGGGGCAATCGGATTTCCGACCTCCATCGGTTCAAGGGTGCAGCCAGGCCCCAGGCCAAGGAAACCCAACTGTCATCCCTTACATCCCCAAACTGACTCTACGGATGTGATCTGCAGAAGGCTCAGCCGAAGGGGAAAATCACATCGCCTGCACGAGAGGGGACATAACTCGTTGAGGAAAGGTCCTGAAAACATGTCTGATCGAAGGGATCCAGGTATGAACACCTTTGTGGGAAGGCCGGTCAGGAGCCAGAAGACTTGACCATGGGCCTTCGAGCCTTACAATTACTGGCGCGCTCCACAGTCCAGGGTTCCTCAGCAACTCAACCAAACTTTGTTCCCATGGAATTCCACTGGAGATGTTGGGAGGAGATTGAAGTTTTGCTGTCGAAAACCTGGTTGGCTGGCCTGCCTGCAAGAGTGTTTCAAGGCCAGCCCAATGAGGACGCAGATTCTTCCCCTTTCCCCTTGTAGCCCTCATTCATGGAGAAAGCCCAAGCAAACAAGCAAGCGCACGGCATCTTCGCCTTTTTCCGCCGTGCCCTTCTCGCCAGGGGCCCGGCGCCGGAGGAGCCTGAGCGCCCCTGGAAGTGCCGCAGGAGAAGCGCGGGCGCACGGCCTGAAGATTCGCCTTTTTTGTTGGACCGGTGCCTCATTTACAAGGAGGAGCACCAAAAGGTACGGTTTTGTTTCTCATCAGGGTCACTGGGAAACTGGGCTTTAATCACCAAGACATAGCAATGGACTATGCCACTTTGGAACAGAAGTTTTCTCTAAAGCAGCCAGCACCTCACTGGGTTTATTAAATCATGAACCAACAAAATAAATAACAAATAATAATAGTAATGAAATAACAGAAACTGAATTATCAGAAGAAATACCATATTGTATTAAAATTAAAGTCCATTTAGAATTGAACAATGGAAACACTCGGCCACTGGTCTGAGAAGTCGGCCACAGCACCTGACTTGCCGCAGGACCCGCGCACTTCACGCCTTAGCGCGGCTGCAGAGCTGGGGTCAGCTGGCGACTTGGCGCTGTTTGAGTTTGAGTGCTACCTGAGAGGCTCCTGCCCTTATCACGCTGGTTCTGCAAGGTGATTTAGGCACCTAATTTCAATCAACACATGCACCTGCGCCCATGCGGGAGGAATTCACAGGTGGGGCATGAAAACCCGGCCCCAGACTGGCTCCAAGGACGGCCTCGACGAGGACGGCTCAGCCACACCGGCGCCGCTCAAGCCGGCGACTCCAACGACGACGCCAAAGAAGCGGCCGGGAGACGTGGAGGCCGGCGGTGTGTGGAGGGGACGGTTTAGGCAGCCCACTTTATGTGCTGTAAGTGGGAAGAATGATGCTCTTGTTCCTGGTCGAATCAACACGGTTTGGCCGTGCAAATGACTGAGCAGGCTCCGCGGTGAGTGGGTTGGCTTACAGCGGGTCCACGGTGAGTGGTTTGGCTCACATTATGGGGCCGGTTTTGTCAAAGGTTTCTGCGCTTTCTGGGGCTACTTGCCTTAAAAAAGGACCTCACCTAAAATCCCCCAGCCAAAATTATAAAGTGTTGGTTCAAAATCACGTATTGGTATTTTTGGGAATCACACCAAACATGTTTTTTCGGGTATGGTGGATACCCTAAATATCAAGCAAATCAAGCACTTCAACCCCCCAACAAAAGCAGACACATCCCATAAATGAATGGCTTCCCTTGCTCCCCTTGCAAGATTGAGCTGGCATCCGGACCCCGGATCCCGCGCAGAGGAGAAGCAGCGCCTGACGCGGCAGCGCATCGAGGACACGCTGTGCCACTCCAAAGCCATTCAGGCGACGCGGGAATTCGAGGGGTCCAACAAGCTCGCCGTGACCAGAGGTGTTTGCGGTGCCCTGTGCTCTTCCTTTGGCCGGGGGGAATCGAATCCGTTCGAAGGCCTTTCTTGGACGGGTTTGGGGTGGTGCCGGCCGTTCACCCCGGGGTCCCTTATTCCAGGCTTTGGCAGCATTGACGGAAGTGTGTTTTGCCAACACAAGAGTTCGTACAACCAAGCTCGATCTATGTATTCCTGGCGGGTGGTGACTTGGGGGCATAGCGGTGGGAAGCAAGGTTTCAGGGCCACTTATTGTGGCAGGAGTTTCCTTGAAAGTGATGATTCAGCCATGGTCAACGGCCGTAAATGATATACTCTTTTGGATTAAAGCTTCAACATCAACTGGCCTTGCTTCCCACGAACTGTTGATAGGCTACCAAAAGCAGCGTTCATGGGGTTTGATGGCAGTCTTCCCCAGAGGCGAACGGCGCAGAAGTGCTTGTTGTAAGCGAGATGGACCCTCCCAAGGCGGCGCAAAACAACACCAGGTCAAGTCAAGCATGATTTGTGGGTTCCGTTTTTTTAGGCAAAAGGTACCCTTTTCAATGTTTGTCTTGGAGCCAACAAGACGCCAGATTTGCGAGGGTCCCAAATCCCTATTTCGACACATACCTATTTCCAGCTAGCAGTGGGGCAGGCCCTCTTTGCTCCCATTTTGTTTGGTGGATGTCCCGTAAACAGGTCAACCAACCAAAAAGATTGTCAACCATCGTTCTACCGAAATCGGGTCAGTGGTGGAAACTGAGTTTACAGTTGTGTGAAAGTAGATCTCTCTGGCACTAGTCTCCCATTTTCCATGCCCTTGAGCTACCCACATAAAGGGAGTTGCGCCAGTTACTTTTCCCAGGTAGATTCATTCTCCTCGAGCCAAATGTTCTCCGACTTGCCCGGCACACCATTTTGTTCTGCCATTCGTCTCAGTGGTTGCAACTGAGTTGAAGCATTTGGGAGCTAAAAGCCAACGATATTTATTCAGGGAAGCCAAATCAGGTTGCTCTCTATTGTCCAATTCACCAAGCCAACCACCAATGAAGGGTTGGCTCACTGTATATCTCAATAAACCCCTGGCAAGACCTGAGGTTTTCCATCTGGCCCAATGGCCGATCCAGTCGCATAGGCAGAGGTGGTGAAGTACCGGGACCGGGTCACCGGGAAGATGGCGGAGGACTGCCCAGGTTCAACAGGTTTGACAGGATACTGTTTATCTGGCTGGAGTTTGTGGGAGCAACATTCTCCAATAATTAACTGTTTCAAAGGGTGTCTTCATGAATCAAGCGATGTTCAGGTGTATCCTTCTACCGGGAGCTTGTTCAACTTGTTGGCTCTCAGATAGCCTCGGAGAGGCAACAAGGGTGTCGGGAATGACGCGTTGGGGGAATCTCTGCAATGACGGGATGGTCCAGCCCTCATTTCAGGTGCAAAAGCAGCAAGTCACTTAAGCCACGTCTGGGCAAGTGAAGGCAGGTGCGGATAGCCGCTCTTTCAGTTCTTTGCCTGGCTTGGGGTAGACCATTATTGATTTTGACTCACCTTCCTTTTCTTCACTGGGCGGAGGCGGTTGCTCAAGGTTCCCATGGACCCATTGAACGAATTGAATTTCACTTTAGACCTTTTGCAACTTACCTTCTGGGCCAAATGGCTTTCCGAAGGGTCGACCTTTTTCTGGTGGAGGGAGCAAGACAGAAATCAGTTTCTTTGTTCTGCAGAGGCTCGGGTCCCCAAGTCGGTGATGGCGCTGCTGCGCCTGCGGGCCTCCTGCAATGGGAAGCCCCTGTCCGACGCGCGCCTGGCACGCATGGCCGTGGACGTGCGCCTCGGCTTGCCACCAATGAATGAACGAGACCCTAAACACACGTGGGAAAGCCAGGGTCAGGGTTGGATCCTGTGGAACAGAGTGTTCCCAGATGTCGCTGTGGGCACCGGAGCAGTGTTGGGAGTAGTTTTTTGAGTTCAGGTCGATGTTACAACTGCTAACTGGTTTATGTTGCTCACTAGTGGATTCTAGAATATACTAAACAATGAGAACGGGGTTGTTAGGGTACTTCAAAACCACATCAAGCCATGAACACCGAAAACGAATTGGCCTCATAGTACCTCTGTCGAGTGAATGGTGGTTCGCAGTAAAGAACATGTTTGACTTTTCGGTTGGTGTCACAAAAAGCCCCCAAACAAGAAACCTCAATTTGTTTTAGCTCACTCCCTGAATTCATGTGGGAAATTCAACTGGCAAAGGACAAGTTCGGACTCGGTTCGGCTGTTTGGCCAATTCACTTAGGAAGTGAGTAAGATGATGTGTTCCTTCCCTTGCGCTTCTTGCCCATCAGTTCCCCTTGGCGGATGTTCTTCGCAGGTTGAAGGTTGGTCAAGTCAATCTTGGAACCGAAGACACCTCCATGTGCTCAAGGCGAACTAAGTGCTTCCCAGTAATGGTGCTGCAAATCATGTGGACGCTATGTTGTTTCCACATTGCTGAGTTGTTCCATAGTTTTAGGGGTATCATTAATTAATGTCAGTCATTCATTCAGTCACTAATTCAGTCAGTCAGTCAGTCAGTCAGTCAGTCAATCAGTCAGTCAGTCAGTCAGTCAGTCAGTCGTTTGTTCGTTTGTTGGTTGTTTCGTTTGTTCCTTCATTCATTTATTTGATTGCTTCATGTCATTCCTTCATGTGGTTTCTGGAACGCCTTGGCAGGTCAGCTGTTATGTTTACAGTTTGCTCTCTTTACTCCTGATCCTTTCTCAGGGAGCCGTGTCGGCTCGCTGCCAGTGCTAGTCGCCTTTTGTGCCCATTCAACTTGAGATAGTTTCCTTGAGGTGGGGTGATGTTTCCGTTTCCTGGGGGGAGTATCCGGGTTATGTTCGGGGAACCTTTGCCAGATTGCGAACCTTTTGCTTTTGCTTCCTCTGACACGGGCACCGTCAAAAGGAATACCCAGTTCACTCAACCAAGTCTGTCAGTCAGGAAGGATCGTATTTTGCAATGTCATTGCCAACATGCGGGGGCTTCATCTTGGTTTCCATGTAACAACCATACAACAGGGGGTGTCAATGGGTGACAAACCGCTACCCGACGGGGAATGGGGCGGTAGCTGGACGCTGCCATGCTCATCCCCCAATTTTTCCCTGGCTTTTTGTGGGGTAGGGGGTTGTGGGGGGGGGGGGGGGTAAGTGGAACTGTGTGGATTCCAACTTAGAATCAAATCGGTTAGGATTCGGTTAGGACAAGGGGTTGCGCAGAAATCGTTTGAACAACGGGACCCTGTCCCCCTTTACGTGTACACTTTAAACAGTTTGTGGGCTTAAAGATGTTGAAAAGGGGAGTCAACTTACGTATAACGAACCCACCTGGAGGTAAGCCCCGCGCACCCTATGTCGAGTTATAGTTTAGAAGTGTGGGGGTTGATGGATCGCTGATATTGCAATGCCATGGCCGAACATTGTGGCTTCCTTTCGATGTTCCTGCGATCCAAGATGTACCTGCAGAACATGGAAGGGGGGGCTCCCCCTAAAACCATGTTAGAGGCAAATCAATTTGTCATCCTGTCATGATTGTGGACAACTAGTTGTTAGGGCCACTTTCTGTTCTTCCATGGGACTCCCTTTGAAGTGAAGGAGTAGGCACGCCGCAAGTGGGAACTCTACTTAAGTATCCCAGACAAGGCTATGTTGCACAACTCATGCCAAGGAGGTGTGTGCGTGTGGTGTTTGAGGGAACCTTTTGGTTTGAGGGGGAAACCACGAGAAAAAGCATCGTTTTTAGCGGCCAACAGGAGGACCGTAATTTGTTCGGAGTCAAAACCGCAATTTCACATTGTCCTACGCGCCATTTGTTCCAGGGTAGTGATTCGCACATGTTTTTCCACCTCCTCATTTTCAGGCATACCCATACGACCCATATGCAGGGTTATCTTGAAGAGTATATGTAGTTTGGGGGGCTGGTTCAAAAGGACCCCCACCATTTTGTTGGATCCCCCTATTTGTCATGCAGCCAACGGGGGACTATTTCACCGTGTTTGTTTCCCATGGCCAGAGAGGATGGAGGAGCACAGCTTCGACCCGGTGCGCGCGGTGGCCTCCTTGTCCCCCGCCTCGCTGCTGTGCCCCAGTGGCGCCTTGCGCGTACTGGGCAGCGGCTTCATCGGCGTGGTCTTCCTCGAGGAGGAGGGCCTGGGAGCGGTGAGTTGGATGGCAGGATTCCCGGAGGTGAGTAAGGAATCACTTCCCCAATCACCTCCCCAGGAATTCACAGAGATAGTTAGTTCTTCATAGGGGGAGCGGAGTAAAGGGGATGGCAATGGCAAGTGACCAAACTGGGTTGGAATTGTGTCAACTGTAAACTCACTTGCAACAACTGACCCGGTTCGGTAGAAAAATAATTGAACATCTTCTAGATTTGTTGATCTTCGCTGGGAAATCCACCAAACAACTTAAACTTTTTGGGCTTGACTATGATGAAGCCCGCTACAGGTAAAAACTGTCAAGTTTGTTAACTGAATGTTTGGTTCCTGTCCATTTGTCATGGACCTTCAAGGCTAATCCCGGCAGCCCTCCCCATGTGCCCCCCTCAACCCCGCCCCCTTGCGGTCAATGTCATTTTTCGGATTTTGGAGCTCTGATTAATGGAAAACACTGGAAGGTTGATTGGATCAGGATTAGAGGGAGCTAGAGAGATTTGCCCTGGCCTGCGGAGGTTTGCGAACCCCTTCTGGATGTTGCTCAATAGCATCCCAAAAGGACTTGGGTGGCAGAGCTTCCCCTATTTGGATCAGTCATCCCTTGTACATCTTTTACATAGTAATTGGGCCATCCAATTGTAGCAGTACCCTTTGGACATTGTACCGCGTGGGCAGCTTCACCTCAAGCCTTGTGGCTCAGTCCGTTCCCAAGGGAAAGCATTTGCCAAGACTGTTTCGCTTGGACTAGGGTGGAGTCCTTCCCAATGGACATCATGGAAGCGGGCAGGAGGCCTTTGCAACGGCACTGTAGTCTTCGAAACCTCTCCCCTCCGCTTCTATGGTTGGTGGAAAGATACACAAACATACCTATGTATATATATATACATGTATATACAAACACATGTTTATGTATACATCCATATATGTATGCACACCCACGTTCCAACAACCACAGGCGTGGAAGGGGGGCTTCCCCAACATGAAAGTAGTCTTCCGAAAAGGGCTGATGCACCAAACCATGTTTGTTGGAGGGTGTGCGCATGAATGAACAAGCAAATACCTAATGCAAATCAAAATGAGATAGACTAAAGGAAAACACAATGTTTATGCATGCTTATTGAAAGCTCCATGATCCAGCCCTCCCTCACATCCGGTGTCGGGTCTCGATTTTTTTTCAGGAGACGGGGGAGGTTGCGAAGGTGATGCTGGACGACTTCGCGAAGAAGGACTCTCGTGGCGTTCAGGGTGCCAGCTTTTGATTGTGACTCGTTGGCGAGCAGAACGAATTTCCAAAGCTAGGGTGCTCACTGCAGAGGGGCGTGTCTTGTTTTGAGGCTCGCTTCCCATTGTGTAAAAGGAGTTTAATCCCATGGTTGTCCGGGCCCACAACAACAATAGTGGACCCAAAAAGGCACGCAAAAGGAACCCTAGCCCCAAAGCACGGCTTTATTTGTTGTATTGGGATTGTGGGGGCCCTTTGCATGTTGAAAAAACCCTCGCACCCACTAGCGGGTCCTTTGAAGGGGATCCCTTGTGGAAATATAGTAGGGAGGGCATTCGTTAAGACACCCCCTGTTGGTTTGTCAAATATCGCCCAAGCCTGGTTTCCTCTGCTCCCGAACCATCAGGAGAACGGACCCCCCGCATGTGCATAGGGTGTGTGTTAGACCACATGTTCCCCGGCAAATGGGCGGAAGGAACCCAAGGGGTTCCGCGACGCAAGCGGAGATTCCTGTAATGAATCAGGGGATGTTGACGGATATTGCCAAGGGGGAATGGTGCATACACCCTCAATTTTGTTGCGGCTGCTGCCCATATACAAGTGCTTTCTCGTGAGGGGCTTGGGGCGGAAATCATCTTCCAACCAAATGAGGTTAAAATCCCACAAGCTCCAGCTGGTTTGATTTTGACGCGGGCGGGGTGTCCCTTCAAGTCCTTCACTTTTGTTTTTGGTTGGGGGCGTGCTGGGCGTGCTGCGCCTTTTTCCTACTTAGATGAGTTAGTGCTTTCCGAGATGGGTTGAGGTATGGATCGCCCTCCCAAAGGTGTTTTGTAAGGGCTTGGTTAAGGTTTGAGTCATTGAGACGGGTAGGGAACCTTGATTTCTAGGCCCCTAGGTTCCTACACCTTGGGTGCCTTCGGCTTCCCATCGTTTCTTAGACCAGATGCTTCCTTTGCTCCAACACCGATTCAAAGCAATAAGGGTGAGCCATGGGGAACTACAACCCCAAATTTTCCGATTGGCCCCTAATACTTGCTAGGAGTCCCTAGTCACTCTTGGGTGTCAATAGCTCTTGTTGCCCAAATGGGTACATGACTTGACTTCAGGAGTACGAGCTGTGCCGCGCCTTTGCGTCGGCAAATCTGGCACCCGCCCCGCTGTCGCTGAGCGGGCCCTGCCCCTCGCCCGCACTCGCTATTGTGAAATTGCGCCAAGGGAGCCCCACAGTTTAGTTTTTCCAGACCCTTTTTAGCAGCCACTTGTCCAATACTGCTTCAGAGCTGCAGCAAGGGGAGCCACAACAGGATATGTTGATGGCACCAATAGTCGCTAAGAGCCACTTTTTAGGTTGCAATGGCTCCCCTTGCTGTGGCTCAATCAGAATGTGAACAATCTGTTCCATGCATCCTGAACTTAGACGGAATGCTACTTTGGTATCACAGAAAGGTTCAGTTTTGGTGGAGCACTACGGCACTTGGACCCTCAGTGTGGAAGGGACTGGAACTTGGGTGCTGCATGGTTTGGGCAGCCTGGACAGCTGGCCAAGGACCTGGGGAACCTTGGTGATTTCCCAAACGATTGCGGGAGAACCCAACCTTGTTGCTGCGCCTTTCTGCCGCCTGCGGCTGCTTTCCTGGACCCATGTTATTGAGTTTCTTGGTGAATTCACGGCATCGCGAGAAATCAGTCCCCAAATGTCTTCCAAAATGACCAAGCGCAAGCGGAGGAGTTTTTGGGTCTTTGCAAATCTTTGCAATATTTGAGGCTTCCCGCATGTTCCATACTTTACCACGGTTGTCATGGTCAAGTGTGCTTGGTTTACTTGCATATTTTCGGGCCCTCACCGTACAAACTCGCACAATTCATTATATAAAAGGTTTTTCCTAAGTGGAGTCACATGGGTATGTGTTTAATTTGGGGGCGGGGGGGAAGGGTTTCAAACAGCACAAAAACACCACACGCACACACACACACACACACACACACACACACACACACACACACACACACACACACACACACACACGCTGACATACACCCATGGGTTTACACCTAGACGTAGCCTCTTGTTCTGAGGCAGTGTGCCGGGCGGAGACCTCTACTGCATCCGCATGGAACGCATCAGCCTCACGCTGCACGGGCTTCTCAACGCCCCTTACCGAAAGAGAGGCGGAGCAAGCAAGATGTCCTTTTAAAAATAGTTGTTCAACCAGAAAGTGAATAATCGCTTGAACGAAGATTACTTTGTATCCCAATTGGGGGCCCCCAGGTTGGGTGTCTTCGCATAAAAAAACGCCCCCAAAAAGCAAATCCCTTGAATGTCAAAAGGGCACATTATGAGCCAGTCAGAATTTCACCCAGTTACAAGCTGATTTATGTGATCCAAGTTCCTGGGATGTGGTGTCTGGATGTTTCCTATAGGCACCCTGGCCGGAGGAACCTGTTTGGGCATCAGTCACCGGCTTGGGTTCACCCGCAGGCGGTGGAGGTCATTGCTGTTTTGAGGACGTATTTGCTGAGGATGGGTTCAAGTACTATTAGATGGTTTTTCATGGGGCTTGGGTTTCCCTTTGGCCAGGGTTTCTCCGAACATGAAAAAGCGGCAAATCCAAGGTAACACACACACACACCCTTCCGCACTGCCTTCGGAAGATGGGGATGCTCGTGACGCTTCAGGAAGCTGAGGATTTGGTTCGGATGAAGTAAGGCTTGCGTATGCAACGTGGTTCCTGTTCGTACCCCTTCTAACCAACCTAAAAAGGGCATCCTCAAAAGCACATATATATATATATACACATAACAGGTTGATGGTGCTTTTTGCTGCTAGCTCTTGGGCACCCACCAACATCCCTTCCAAGAAGCCAGAAGGAAACCACCCACGTTGGCAATTTATGTTGACGCGATTTTTGCAAACCCACACTCTTGGGCTTCCCTTTTGGGTTCCCCTGGTGGTTTTTCAAAACAGTCATTGTCCTTTCTGGTTTTCCCTTGCGATTTGGCCTGAAAATCACCATCGCCCGCCGATTCGGAGGATTCCCTTGCGCGGGTGGTGTTGGATGCATTCTTCTATCGATTCTATCGGAACCCTGCTCCTTGGGGGCAAGGAAACCGTGTGCGCAGGAAACCAGTTCCCCCTGGATTGGTTGAAACATCGCAACCAAGCAACACTTGGCTTTAAGGAAGCCAACTGGAGGTTGCTTCCCATTTTCCCTGAATCTCACCTTTGCCAGCCTTGGGGGATTTCCTAAATGTGCCAGACAGGAAAGCCCAACCTAACGAAGCAGCGGCATCATGTGGCTGGCGCGGTCCCGACCGGAGGCCAAGACCTGGCGCGGCCTGCGCCACGGCCTTGCGCCCCCTGAAGAGCCCCACGCGCGGAGGCGCAGACGCGGGAGGGGGGGGAGGGATCCCTTCAAATCACCGAAGTGGTTCCAAGATGACCAAATGATGCTATTTTTCACAGTTATTGATGCTCGTGTGCTTCCTTGCTGGCATCTCGAAACCCAACTTCCATGCTGTCGCTGGAGCCAACTGCTTGTTCGACATGGCCAGGCTTAGCCGTTGAGCCAGCTTGATGTTATAGTCTTGGCATCTCAACCTGCCACCGTTGGCAATCACGAACAATGTCTGGACAGCTAAATTTTGCCCCGCCTCCCAAGTTAGGTTTCCCTGATTCGCCCCTTTAACCCGCTACAGCGGCAACTTTTTGCTGGGGCCTTAGGATTCGCCAAGTTGCTCACAGGCTTCCCTTTTCCTGCCCGGGTTCACTACAGATGGTGTTTGGCCCCAAAACATTCTTCAACACCGAGAATGGCTGAACCCAAAACGTGTTTTTCCTGTTTTCACCTTCCGGGTGACTGATTACACCCGGGCCGCCTCTCCGATGGATCGGGTCAGGATCGCCGGCGCGATCGTGGCGTCGCTGCAGCGGATGTACGACAGCGGGCTGGTGCATGGCGCCTGGGACGGTTGGATGTAGTCTGCCAATTTTACGGCTGGCTTGCCAAATTCACGGCTAAAACCAACTCACTATGACACAGGTCCTTTCTGGAGGAATCCGTGAATTCACGTTTTGGAATTATCGTAAAGTTTGCTGATGTGGTTTGTCCGCTCGCTGTTGTCAGGCCTCCTTTCCAAACTGATGAATCATGTTTTTCCTTCAAGCGGTTGCGGGGTCTTTGGGGGAGTGGCTTCAATGGATGCTCCATAGGTTGCAATCATCTCAGCCTCAAATGGGCAACTGGCAACAGCTACTCTGGCAACGAATGCATTGGCAGGTAATTACATGGACTGTGGAGGGAAGGTCATCCGCCCTGTTGTGCGAGCAACTCATCCTTACACCACCACACACAAGTAAATAACGCTAATTTCATGGATTCCTTGTTCCTCAGTTGGCATTCAAACTGGCAAGGCTAGGAAATGAGACTAGCGGACCTTAAAACGCGAGCTTTGTCTCTTCCCCTTAAGGTGGGGGTTACTTTCCCGGGGTTTTGTCTCTTTTCTATCCACCGGTGGGCGGCCCTGATTTGCCCATATTCCAAGTGCCAGTGGGAAATCATGGGCCCTTTGCTTTTGGTAGGTGAAGTTAAAAGGAGTTGCCTTCTCCGAAAGGGAAGAAAAAAGGAAAAGAGAAGCAGCCCACTGCAGGTTGGGTTAACCGATGTTCTACCCTTGTGGAGCAGGGGTTGAATAATTAGGTTCAAGCGTCAAGTTCAGGTTGAACAACAACATGTTCAGGGTCCAAAGAAACGGACTCAGCGATCAAACATAGCGAATCGCCAAGCCTTCCGCCTTGTTTGCCTCTATGGACCCATTTAACAGGGTTCCTTAAATGATACATCGTGCCCAAAATGAAAGGCCCTTCACTAGTGTCAGGTGATGTTAGGGTTATCCTTTAAGGGACCCTTTTTAGAAGGTGCCCTCTTGTTGGACCTCCAAAAGGCGCAAGTTTAATGGAGCTGCCCCGGACACAGGCGACTGCTCGGGCCGTTCGTCCAAGCCTCCCCGCACAAAGAAGTCCATTTTTTGCTTGCCAATTCTTTGAACAATGTTCAGCTCGGAACATGGAGTCTGACTGATGTGTAGGAGACGAGTTTTCTTTTGATGATTTCTGTATTTGTACATGCATGTTACATGCATAGGCACATACATATGTACATTCATCTGGGTTTGGATATGTGTATGCATATGCATATGTACACGTGCATGTACATGTATGTGTGTGTGTGTTTGCAGGCGTACATGTATCTGCTTGTTTTTTGTGTGCGTCAGGAAATTGCCTTGCAACCTTGGTTCAGGTTACGCCTTTGGAAGTGTTGTTGCTGGCCTTGAGAGCATGCAACTCATTTAGAACTCATCTAGGGTCACCCCAAAAGCTCCTTTGCTTGGGAGTCCCCTTTTTTCTCCCCTTGGTAGGATGCCGACTCAGGGCGGATATTGGAGCTGGGCCACTTGTGAGCAGGAGGGCTTGTTTCATTCCGGAACCCCGTGCTGGTGTTTCCACGGTGCGTAGCTTGGGCTCAAGACGTTGGCCCAAGGCCGGGCCAGGCTGAAGCTGAAGGTCGCCTTTGTGGAAGGCTTGAACTGTGAGGTTGGCGAGGGCGATGGCGACAAGTAGGCTATGGTGCTGGAAAAGAAAGGCGCCGGCTTCGAGGTCGAAAAGAGGTTGATATGTGGGGGCTGCCTGGATGGGGGTCGAACTTGGCAGGATTACGGCATTCGGGATGGCTCCACAGTCTGCGTAGTCTTGGGCTTGCCCAAATCCTAGGTGTCCTGTGGAGGAATCAATCAACGGCACTGGTATCTGACTGGAGCCAAGCTGAAACCAGCGCCAACCAATGGACCAAACTGACTTGATGAACTCATCGACGTCGCGGCCATCGTTTCACTGCACACTGATCAGTTCCTGTGAAGAGTTGATGCTGGAATGCTCACCGCGGCTGGCACGACTGAAGCTTAAAGCCGGTCTGAAGCTACCTGTTCGGTTGAAGGAGCGATCCTGCAGGAGCAAAAGGTGTGTTGAAGCCAGGCTTCCCCGGAAAGACGAGGGAAGTCCGGCATGTCCTTGCAAAAGGTTCTTTGAGAGGACAGTTGCTTTCAGGCAGCTGTACGTGGGTCCTATGTTTGGTTTGGAAGAGTTGGTTTGGCCCCTCAGGTTGCGTCGGAGTGTTTCACATTGCCTCATGGGGCAACGTCCGAGGTGACCTTCACTTGCACAACATCGGCGTGCAGCATGGCAGACATCAGCTTAAGTGAAGGGAACCTTTGCGGATTCGGGCGACCCGGGGTACATTTAATGAAGATTGCGGAGTCCTGCAAGGGTCATTATGTTTTATTGGCGGATGTGCCCACCAAACTAGATTTCTCAGTGCGTGGCTGGAGCTGTTGAAAGCGCTGCTTTCGACACGACAGCTTAACCCCCTTTTTTCCACCACCTGCTTCTAGGGCTAGTTCCGGAAATCGATTTTCCCTGCCGAAATATGTGCTGCGACTTTGGGCTTTGGGGGCGAATTTCCGGGTCGGACCAATTTGGTCTCTGCCACTGGCCTTCTGCCGGGTCCTTTGCGCAGGGTGCAACAGATGATTGCCCCAACCCTGGCCCCTGATCATACACGGCCCTCACTTCTCAGGTCTGAAAGTTGCGCCCCTTCATCCGTTCGGAGCCCTTAAAATTGCCCCCGTGTATGGGTTGCCACTCAACGGGGAAGAACAAGTGAACTCAAAAGGTTGCACCCAGACCGTCTTTTTGGCGGTTCCCAGCTCAGCTGCTCTTAGACTTTGAGCGCTTTAGAGTTTAACGGGATTTCTGGCATATCCCACTAGAAGTTTGTTTTTTAGCAGGACCATCAAACCACTACGTGGTCAGGCGTTTGGGCCACATGCCAAGGAAAGATGCGGACACATCTCCCACGGCGCCTTATCTTGAAATGTGTGCTGTTTGTCTTAAAGCAATCGGCCATTGGGGTTCCTTTTCCTATTTTTTTACATGGCAACCCAGGGTTCCCTATATTTGTTACCCATCACGTGCTTTGAGGTAAGAATACTTTTGGCGGGATGCCATTTGACACTTTTGGCCTTGGAATGGTCCTCCAGGAGGACCCAGCGTGGGCCATCTCTTTCAGGAAGTCCCCAAGAATATCACAACATGTGGCCCTACAACTGCATTCTCCAAACCATGGTGCTAGTATGATGCATTCCCTGAATCTTGCAGGTTAACTTGCAAAATCAGCATACACACAGCACTAGCTGCAGTACTGCCTTGTTCAGAACTGTGCAAGCATGCTTTCAGGGTGGGAAGTGCAAAAGCGGACAATTTTATTGATGCCCCATTTGTGGGTTCCGTTTGTTGCCTTTGGCACTCTTCAACTCCAAAACAACGCCCCGAATCAAACTTTTGGGGGGTCTTGTTCAGGGTCCCTTAAAGGATACACCAAAAGATATCCTAGTGCATAGACTGTATGGGCATGTTGGTTGTTGAGGGTACCCTTAGTTCAAATGGAAAGGAAGCAAATTAAAACCACTCATTTGTGTGGCCCGTTTTGTCCGCGGGTTTCATGCCATGGGCCCCCCTTACAAGCCTTGAGGTTACGCCATGGGCCACAGGAGGAGACCTTGTCACGGGCACCCGTGTATTTGCATATGGTGTATGCCCCTTTGTTATTTTGTCCACATGGCTTCCTTAACAGCTTGCTTGTTACACCGAACAACGCTTGTTCTTAGGAACCGGCCTCTGAAATGTCTGCTGTACAATTTGCCGCTGTATGGCTTCATGGCTTCATGGCTTCACATGAAAGCACGCTTTTTTCAGATCTCCTGGTTACTTAGCCCCTCATATTTCAATGCCCGATCAGTTTCCTCTGCATGGTTTCGGATGGCTTTTCGGGTGCGTGAAACCCCTCCGGGTTTCCCTCTGGCACTTGCAGCCGCTTATCCGTGGCCGTAGGTGCAGTTCATCGACTTCGGGCGCTCGGCCAGCAAGTCCTTCTGCAAAGGCCCCTGTGCCGAAGCCTTCCGCGCTGGACACGCGCCTTGGCAAAGCGAAACACTCACTCGTCGAACAGCTTCGCTCGAAGCTGCTAGGCGTGGGCAGAAGCGATTCATCAGCCAATTCAGGGCTCTTTGAAAGATACCTGGTGCCGACAGCACCACGATGGGCCGTAAGTCATTAGGACCGAATGCTGGCAAAGCGAAAGATACGAATGCCATAAATCTGGGGTCTCCTCTAAAACAATTTGTCAAGAAGCATAGGCTACATATGAAATGTCATGGAGCATAATCTGAAAACATGTTTTCTTTGTGCACCAGATGTGGGCCAACTCAATATTGCAAGTAAGGGGAATGTTGGGAAGCGCTCGAATCTGCTGCAATTTGCCAAGGTTTTGCGGCTGAGGATGGTTTAGTTGCAATATATAGGGCATCCATCGGTCCGCATCCATTTAGTAGGGTTCTGGTAGAAGGATGCACCCCAAAGCCATCCTTTAAGAGACCGTGGTCAGGTCCCTTTGCACATTTCCCTTGGTTTACTTTGGTGGAGAAAAATCGGGGGGGGGGGGCCTTACCGCTTTCAGTTTTCAGTTTGGGGTGGGGACAAGCGCAGATGGAAGCACCGGTTTGTCACGAACCTTCCTTGGGTTGGCTCACTGCATCTCATTCTGCTTGGGATAGTTCTGACTGGTTTGGGGGACGAGCAAGTGAGCAGGGGTTGTTTGTGTTAGCCCCGAAACTTTCAGAATCTGCGAATGACACGCCCCCAGGAACTCTGACTGGGGGGGGGGTAAGTCAGAAAGCGGATTTCCACTTTCGGGACTGCCTGAAACAATCAAAGCCGGGAATTGTCGTTTCTTTCAGGGCACCCTTTCAATGGGAAGCCGAAAAGAATCCAAATACCCGCATATGGGGCCCTACTGCCGTTTCAAAGTCAACCCCAGAAAGTTGAGGCGCAAGACGCAGAGGGAAACTGACAAACGGATTCCTAGCGCTTTCAAAAAGGGGCTGGAGCTTTTCCAAGGCCAGCCGCTGGCTGCCATGTTAGTCCAGAGTCCATGTTCGTCAAGGTTCCCGAGCGTATACAAGCCCTACTCGGGGCATGTGGAAACAGAGCGGCGGAGTGAGAATGAGGGGCCTTTAGGGATGCAAACCACCCGCTTCATCAAAGCCAGAAAAGGCTACGCAAGGCTGCACCGGTTGAGGCTGTTTTTTGGGAGATTGCACCCTTAGGGTTGTCTCTTTTGGGTGAACATCGCGAGTGCTGTGGCGCAATGTCGGGGCACTTTGGATCGTGCCTTACCTTGTCTAGAGCATGAAGTTGTCAAAAGTACTTGGATTCCTATGGTCACGAACGCTCCCAAGCCCCAAAGGATGGGCAACATGGGAGTGTCTCAATTGCGGACCCTTCAAAAGCTGGGCTTTCCTGTGGCTTGCTTTTAAAATGGCACAAGCAGGGGTTTTCTCCGAAACAGAGACACCCACATGCGCCGTTGAATCACAGCCACGAGGAGTACGACGTGTGCAGATTCATCGGAGAGCTGTTTCAAGCCTTTGACGAGCGTCTTGGGTACGCAAAAAGCCCGGTCGAATCTTTCCGAAACTATGTCCAATAACTTTTTTCACGTGCCTCTTGTTTTACAGTTGGCAGTTGGGTGAAAGATCGTGAAAGTATGGCACAACTCCTCCCATTTTTGATTCAGTCATCCCCGTCGCTTACCCACATAACTATATGGAGTTGTGCCAGTTGCTTTCACCCCGGTGAACATCCCCAGTTGGCCATGTGATGTCCTTTCATATCCTGAGTCTGCGAGGAAACTGCCCTGACGTGAAAAAGGATGTGGAGCACAAATTCCACGCAAGTGTTGAAAGGTCAGATTCGAGGCACTTGTTTTTTCTGAGTTCATGACCAGCCTTTGGCCCCAAACTTGGAGCACGATTCTGGAATGCTACGGGCTTTGCTCAATCAAGCAGGGTGGCTGGTCTGTGGGTGCAGGAAGCTCCCCATCTTCTGGGCAGCATTTTGTTGGTTGAGCGACGCCCAACCAACACCCGTATCGGCAGTCTTAGTATACATATAGGTGGTTCTTCTACTGGGTTTATGGCGGTCAAACGGCTTTCGCGTATTGCTCCGTTGAAGTTTATGGCTACTTCTGGCACTATGTCAAAAGGGTCCCTCAAAAGATACATTTAGGCCAGGTAAATGAATCGCCTTTTGACCCGGATCCTTGTGTAAATCAGGCGGTTGGTAGATGCATCCTGCAAGGAAACCATTCGAGCGCGCCAACCGGAAACTGCAGACGATCCTTGGAGTCCCAGCCCTTTTGTCATATTATGTTTGCGCATGTGGCACAATTCTTTGGTCTGATCTCATCCGTTTGCAAGAGGTGGGGTTTCTCTCTTTGGGAAAAAAGAGAATGGTCGTTTCCTGGAAGGTATTGTCTCACTTTCTGAGTTCTTGAACTTTAAACTTATTGTTGGGAAAACCCTAGCGGTAAACAAACAGTTTGCACTTTTGTCAGCCCACTCAGGAAGCCAGTTGTTTGGTGACACCCGAAGCAAACAAAAGACCTTCGTGGCACCCGAAAAGCCTTAGTTTGGTTGCCAGGATGCGATTGGAAAGCAGGGCCTCCTGGCACAAGTGTAGCACCCAAGGCCGTTTCAATCACCGGACAGGAAAACAATTCGTTGTTTGTTCAAGGGCGGGAGGTCATCAGAGTTACCGTCTAATCAACGAAAATGGTCCGGTGAACGGATGCCCTTTTGGATAGAACAGTCGGCTTCGCATTTTGGGGTCTGTGGACCAAACCTGTAGTTCGTTGGGGTTAAGAAAGGCAAATCCTTCAGAATGTAGCCCCCCCTCTATGAGGGGGGGCTATCTGCATTTTCCGCAAAGGAGGCCAACAGTGGGCAAACACTGTCTCAGGCATTTTGCTTCGCTAAGGCTTCAATACGAGTTTGAGGAGACGATGCAGGCGTGGTTATGGCAGTTACTTGGGCCAGTCCCGCCCAGATGGCGATTCGATGACGTGTCCAGGGGCTTGCTTCACCAAAAGTTGGTCGTTCAGTGGATTCCTCCCCTCTGCTGGTTTTGCTTGATGGGCTCCTCTTAAATGAATGCCAGCCCAAAGAGGGGTCCAATTCTTTTCAGATCAGGGGACTGTGGCAGTGTGTTTTGTTCTTGTTGTTTTGTACCCGTGTAGATGTTCTTTTCTGCTGTTCTTAGTGCATTCTTGGGAATCAATAGTTTTGAAAAGGAGAAACGCAAGAAGACCCCTCCCCCCAGAAAAAAAAAAAACTAAACTCACACAGTCTTTCCATTGGATCAAGCCTGCCAAAAGCCAACCACCAAAGACATCTCGAGAAATCCAAAAACAAAAATGCAAGAAACACACTCCTCAGACACTCTTTCTAGAAGTAGGCACTCACTGTGCCAAGACTTCTTGGAGAATGGTTTTGTTTATCGTTGTTTTGGCTTTGATGTTTGGGTGTCTCGAGGTTTGTTGGTTTTTCTGCCTTGTGCAGGGCTGTTCCAGTACATGTGTTTCAATTAAAACAAGTCCTGCGTAAACATCCAATCAACGATGCAAATCGGATGAAGCTGACCTCTGCTTGAATTAACTGGGTTTCAATGGATTTTAAGTTGGAACTCATACTTCTTTTTCAAAGTAAGTCTTGCACAGCTTTCCAGTAGAGTTTTCTTTACACATCAGTGAATCAAAAGGAGCTCAACCTAAGCAAAGCAAGCGTTGGGAGACAGTTGCCACTGTGTACATGGAGTGCGCTTGCGCAAATTCCATAACCCCCCCCCCCCCCCCCCACCCGGCCTATGTGCTGTGTTCACGCGATTTGGAAGTTCGGCTTCCTTGGCATTCTTTTGGATGTTTCACAGCCAAGTTGTTTTGGGAACCCATTCTGGAAGGGATTTGGATCTCTTTTTGGGGACTTAGACAACCACTACCTTTTAGTGTTCACAAATAAGGAAACATATTGATGGGCATTTTTTTGATTTTTCACACCCTCTTTTTGACACCCAGATTAGTGGGGCGGCTCTTGACAATTGTTCAGACCCTGACGTCTTGTCAGAAACTGCGCCCTCCGGATTTTGGCCTGGGGCCCGATGTTGGTAAAATGAGGGGGTCCTAAACGGATCAGGTGCCTTGTGCAGAATACTGGAGGGGCCAACGTTGAGGACCATCTTACATCTTGGCCCTCATCTAAAATGATGAACAAACAACTTGTTCAAAAGCCTGGGTTTAAGGTTGAGCATTGACCAAGCATAAGAAAAGCAGGGTTTTCAGAAAAGCCCCCGAAAGGCTGGGGGGAGTGACCCAAGTCAAAAGCTATTTCTCCTTGGGGATGTTGCTGCTTTTGCCGAACATTCGAGTAGTGCCATGGGCCCCACTTTGTCCTGGAATTTGCGCAGGGTATGTAAACAGGGTGTATGCGAAACCCAAGGTTTGCTTTGTTTATCATCAATACACATGAGTATGCATGTGCGTATGTAGATGCGTGCATGAGAATCTGAGAAACACAACAAGCAACAAACACCACCGAGCAGCATGTGGTGTCGTTTTATTTATTCTTCTTCCTTTTGCGGAAGCCGCCAGTATGGTGGCTTTCATGTTGGTGTTTGTCGGAGAACACGCGTTCCCTTAAAACACAGACACGGCCTTTTCCGTCTCTTCAAAGTTAAGATGTAGTTCGGTGACCTGGCACCAGGAGTGCCAGAAGGAGCTCAAGGAGCTCCGAAAGAGCAAGGAGACGGACGCCCCCGTTACCGACCCTTGGCACTCGTGCTAGCCAGGAACTCGCGGAGTGAGCAACCGAGGTCAACTTCGAGGTCAGTCTCACCACACCTTCTCAGCTTCCACAATTGCACAATTGGAGGGTAAGCATGCTTTCCTGAGGTAAATCAGAAGGTACCTGAAGAGGCAAGTTTGACATGTTTTGACTTAGCCAACCGGATTTGAGTTTTCCTTTGGCAGTGCAGCAGCACTGTTTGTAAGTTGACCGTTTAGGCTAGCAAACGTTGGAGCAAGCCCCCGGGACCTCCATGTTTGCAAGCGAAAAGGGGGCGGCCTTTGGAGTATCTGATTCTTTCAATTCTTTCAGGTGGGGTATCAGGGCGGAAAATGCCAGAATAGTGCTTTGGGGGACTTTAAAGCCAAATTAAGTCATGCTCCTCAGAAAATAACGGCCATCAACAGGTTGAAGCTTGAATGCATCCATATGAACAAGTTATAACGAGCCTGCCCAGGAGTACGGAGCTTACCCATGGTGAAGTGGTGAAGATCCTTCATTTGGGGTTCTGAGGAATGAATCATGGCTTGAGTGTCACTTCAGTTCTTCTGACTAGCAAGGACTGGCAGCTACATCATGCGCGTCAGCTTGCCGGTCTGCAGGCGTTTGTGGACGAAGAGCCTAAGGCCGGAAACATGCGGCTGGTAGAGCTTTATGGGAAGCGCTCTAAATATTGCAGGTAAACCAAGCATTATCAACCACTAAGCCCTGCTAAATTACGGTGTCCAGGGTGCCCAAGGGCCCCAACACGCGGCCTTATGCATTGACATACCACCAGCCCACAGATCTCCGAATTGGTCAGCGGCGCTATTGGGCGCTGCGCTGCGGGGTTCTTAAGGGGAACTCTGCGCAAAATCGCCTCACGAAGGGTCTCCTTTTGCGGTAGATGAAGATTCGTTTCTTGCTTGGCCATGCATCTGGGCCGGTTCAGATTGCAGAAAACAAAGTCGCCAAGGATGCGGAGCCGTTTTTTGCAATGGGCCAAGTCCTTTGAGCGATTGCCCAGTAACTATGGAGCCACACACGCCAGCTTGTCATATACTTTTTGGTGAGGGGCTCTTTTTCCGAGAGCACCTTTAAACGGAGACTTCGTCATTTGAAATGCTGGCAAATCCCTTGTCCTTCAACCGGCGACCAATTTGTTCAAGATGTTAAGATTCTTAGGCATCCGGGGTTTTTCAAATAGCCCCTAAACTGCTCGGTTTTTTGAAGCCCTCATGCCCGAGCCGCGAATCGGCCTCGTGTGAATTTTGAAGCGCCAGGGCTTGGCCAAGGCAGAGCTGGCATACAGCACACTGCTGGCGGCCGCATCTTGGACTCGGAAGCGGCGAAATGGCGTGGGTGAGATTTTTCGGGAGGTATGGATGCCCCTAGCACGTTGCATGTAATCAAGCCAACGCCAACCTGGAATCCACACAAGGGTCCGTTTTAATGAGTCAGATTCCATGTTAGTGAACAGGTTGAATTTGTTTGCCTCAAGTCAAACCACAAGAGTTGAGAGCCAAGTTTGAAAGGGGTTTGCTTCCGTTGGGTGTATCAACTGTTCGGCGGCATGCACATTGCCTTGATCTGATTTCACCTGCCAAAAAATGCATCGCCTTTGCTTCTGGTGCCCCCATGCAGATTCCGTGAGACTGTTTCTCCAGTCGTGCTGGGTTGCCACGCTGCTTGGCGCAAGCCTTCAACTCTTGCCCCCCCTCCTTGACAAGCCATGATGCTGCTTTTTTCCAGACTGTCACCTCAAGCTTTCACTTCGGCCAGGTGCCCCGCAAATCTGGGGATGTTGGCTTTTCAAAGTAGCAAGCGAAAAAGCATGCGCGCATGCAGCTTTGTGTGGGTCATGTGTTTTTGTTTTTTCCAAGGAGAGCGGTCAGCTGGTGGTTTTTTTGGCATTGTTCCCCGCGACCACTTTGAACACAAACATGCGCAATTTCAGTCATACTTGGCGAACTGGGGCTGCTTTGGCTATCACGTATTGAAGCCTGAAGGCCTTAAGGACTTAGGGTCTTATCCTTGGCCCAAAGGCGTTGTCCAAAGCCGATCGGTTGGCCGATGTTGGCCGTTTGGGTGTCCGTCTGGTCCAGCAGTCAATGTTCCAAAAGGCAAATCCTTGCCTTCCAGGTCCATTGCAAGTGAGGGACCATTTGCTTTGCACACTATTTGCCCAACAATGGAAGCTGAGAGAGGATGGTGGAAGACCACAGTCTCAGAGAGGGCTTTCATTTGCCCTGATTGCCGGCGTAGCTTGTTGAGCTGGACAAATTGGGAGGGTTGGTGCCTTCCAACCAGCCCCAAAGTTATGGTTTTGCAGCATGCAGGGTGCTGAGCCTGACCCAGTAGAACAATAGCATGCAATATGAACCCAGAAACTTTGCTGGCCTAAGACAAAAGGGTTGACCCAACGGCCTGAGCCGAAGTCTTGTAAAATGCGCACGTTGTAGGAAGACACTCGCCTGGCAAAAATAGCTTTCAGCTGCAGATCTGAAGGGTTTTTCAGCTGCTTGCTTCTTAGGTTGCGTTCCCGTTTGCCATTCTTTTACGGGGTAGGGATCCCACAATGTCATGCATTGAAGTTGTAAATTCTACCCCAATCAGGCCCCATGTATCCATGTTTGGGTGGACTCCTTCAGATCGTTGAAGCCCAAAACCAAATAATTCAACGAAGTCGTGAAATTTAGAGACAGGGCTTTGCGCTGTTTTGCATTTTTGTTAAACTCTCACCCAGTACCCCGAAGCCGGTTGGATAGGCATGGGTTTCACGATCCCCCGACCCTGGCCCACATGCACCGACCTACCCCCAGGGTACCACCAAAAGTCGCTCGCCCCTCTCTCCCCGTTGGGGGCCGTGAGTGGAGTTTGGTTCGCCGAGGTCTTGTACTACGCCACGGTGAAGCTGGACTTGTCGGACGGCTTCGGTTCCACCGCCTCGGTGCGGAACCGGCGGCTGCGCCAGGCCTGCAAGAAGCGCGAGGCGGCGCCTCGGATGGGGCGGGAAGCCGTCTGGCAGAACTGGGCGTTCCCATGAAGCCCTTAACATGTTCGCCACGCTCCAGGGTCTGCAACTGAAATCTGGAAAAGCAACTGGGGGGATTGGAGGGAATTGAAGGTGTTTGTTCAGAACCTTAATCTTTGGACCCATGCTGGAGACACCCTTCCCATGCCCCCCTTAGTTTCAACGAGGCTTTGTGTTTGGAGTCCATTTGTTTGATGGTTTTGTTTATCGGGCTGATTTGTGTGTGTGTTGTATATTTTGTCCGGGCTGAAGCCGAAAAGATTGTCCGGTAACACATATTATTTTTCTGCCAGCTTGGTGCACAGGGACCCGCAACCCCCCTCCTCCAACCCCTGGGGAACCCTGCAGCACAGCGGCTGAATCTGTAGAGTTAGCACACTTCATGGCTGGTCTCAAGGACGGCAAACGATCTTTTGCTCAATTGCTTATGGGGAAGAGCGGCGGTAGATTTCTTCGTTCCGAGGTAAAAAGTTTGAGCTCAACTTGTTTTCGGCCTCTCCGTTGGGCGACAATGGTCACCAGGCTATCAAGACTAAGAGGCCACAAACTCATGCTGGCATTCCCCACGGCCACACAAGGAAGCAAGCCAGCTTTGTAGAGTTTATAGGGACGTGCCGAACCCCCCCTCCCCCGGCCCCCCTGAAAAATAAGATGCAGCAATGGACGCCTGGGTGGGCTGAACCAGTTTTCCTTTCATTGGCCCCGGGTTTCCTCACATGTTTCCGAGAAAATGGGGGCTGCAATGAATGGGTGAAGGTGCTTTCAGAGACCCAAGGGTCCTCAGGCTTTGGAGGTCCATTGTGTGAGGATAAAGCAAAAGGGGATTGTTTGATGTTTAAGATGAAAGGTTGCTACTATGATTTGTTTACACAGCCATGGGTCACTGTTCAAAGGGAGCATGTAAACATTATTTGCAGAAGTGAGTTATATTTGTTTAACCGCGGCCAGCATTGTTATGGAGAGCAGTCGCCCCCTGAGCCACGTCAATCTGGTTCTTGCCGCCGCAGACGAGGCCTGCCACAAAGTGTACTTCAAGTCGGAGCTCTTCTGGGGAGACGAGTCCTGAACCGAAATTTGCCCGGGCTCCCCATAACTGAGCTGATGTTGGATGTTTCTATTGCTCGGAGTCCAACACTTGACGCTTACAAGCCAGGCTCAAGCAACCTTTGCCCAGTGGCCGTCTTGCAGATCTAAGTCTGGCCCGGTATGCCGCCAAGATGTTGACCCGTTTTTCGTTGAAATGTGCCGTTTCTGTGATCAGTGGTTGGCTCCCACGTGGGTGTTTGCCTTTGGTTCCCCTGGCCAAAGGGCCGAGCCAAAGAGGCGCTCTGTCGCGAAGGTCCTGGGTTCCTCAGTTCAATAGAGGGTGCATGGAATGTTTTCTTGGGGTTCTTGGGGTTTATTTGTGGGGTTTTCCTTGGGCGGTCTTTGCGGGCATTCTCCAACTCCCAACCCCCTCATAATGGATACAACTGCTGTCGTATTTTAGAGCATACTTTGACAAGGCCAATTCCAAGCGGTTCAATACATATGTGTTCTTTTGTTTTATCAACAGTGATGTGATGCTTAGGGAGCGCCGGGCTTGATTGGTGTGACGGCCACGGATCTTGGGGTTGTCCCAGCCTGGCCAGTAAGTCGCTGCCTTTGCCAAGTGGTCCAAACTCATTCCCGATTCCCATTGCTTGTGTTTCGATGGGCTGCGGCAGTCCAAAAGAGTCCAAAAGAGCCTGTCCCACGGACACCTCTCTGCCTTGCCGCATTGCCCATGCGCAGACCGCGCTGCCCGGGCCACAGCGCCCGTGCCGAGTCCGCATGTCCGAATGTCCGAAGTTGGCAAGGCCAAAGGGCTCGAGCCTGAGAAGTGGACAGATGTTCGAGCCTAGGATGTTTGATGGGGGGCAGCCGGCATGTTTGTCCACAACATTCCAGTTTCATACCCGTGTGCCTTTGTTGCACCATCTCCACATTGTCATGTCACTTGTTTTGGCATTAAGTTCAGAATAAGTTTTGGGGGGACCCCTTTCTGGGTTTTACATGAATTTGCAGCGGGGTGCAAAATGTTTGCTCTGCCATTACCTCAAGTGGGGTTGTAGAGGTATCCCCATGGTTTGGCCTGTTTGCTTGCGGCAGCTTTTTCCAACTAAGGTAGTGGAATCTGTCATATTCCAAGGCTAAACCTATTAGGCAACAATTGGGAAGCTGCGCGTGAAAGGCGGCAGGTGGCAAATGGGGGTGCCAAGATAGGGGAGCCGGGGCCCCACAATGGCTGTGGTTTTGTTTGGTCTCAACTTTTCCCGAGTCATCCACCATAAGGTAATCCAGAAGACATTTGGCTGATTGATCTGGATAGTATGTGTGTTGTGTGTTCTTTGTCTTCGGAAACATGCTTGTCTTTACTTGCTCAATGAAAATCATCAGTCTGGCATTTGAACTTTTGTTGTGCGACGCTTCTGCTTATTACGTTTCCCACTGAGCATGATCTATCCCTATCAGGGCCATCGAACGTGTGGGCAAGTGCATCACTTCTGTCAGAGGTCTCTGGGATATTTTCGCGGGACCTTCATCCAGTTGCTGGAGTGCAGGGTTTTATAGACTCTTGAATCAAACATCAAACGCAACTGCGGGGCCGTCCGAATCCAGACTCCTCTTAATGTTTGAAAGGGTTTCAATGGCTTCTCCTTTCAAATTCGAACCCTTACTCCTTGGGGCTTTGGGGGAAAACACCCTAAGACTCCACCAGGGTGGCGGATCTGGGGTTCTCATTATTAGCAAAGGTTTTGGATGCTATGAGAACTTGAGCTGGACTCGGCTCATTGATTGCACAAAGTGGCGCACTTTGCGGCGCGTTTCTGGTGCTTGCGGCTTCGACCAGCAACACATGAGGCGGTTTATACCTGCGGTACAACGCCCTGACTTTTTAGCAGAGGAGTCTGGCCAGATAAATGGGAAAAACAAAGCTTCTCTTGCGTCAAGTTTGTCTGTCTGCCTAGGCGGTCCAAGTCTTGGTCAAGGAAGCGCGGCGAATTATGGCCTTAAATTGCCACAGCTGCCTCACGATTGGCCTGGAACCGCAGGCGAGCAGGGGCCATGGTTGTGTTACATGAGTTGGGCGCTGGGCTGAGGCAAATGTTCGGAGCAAGGGTTTGATCCATTGGTATCTGCGATCAGGCATGAAACGAACTGTACAAACCGCAAGCGTCTGGGCGAGAACTCAGAGCCCCCACGCATGGCGTGTAAGGCTGCGGTTGCCTGTGTGAAAGACACGGCTGCGGCGCCAAGGCCCTTGCTTGTTCGAATGAACCTTCCATCCCTTATTTGTGAGGTTGCTTCTGCCTAGTCAAGGCATTTCTTCATCGTGCTCGTGCAGTTTCATTCGCCTTTGGGTTTGTTCGGTGGCTGCTCATTCTCCATCCTAAGGTTGCAATGGCCTGACAAGTTCGTCTATATTTGAGTGGCACCTTATGCGCATGGAAAGCCTTTGTCCTGGGCGGCCAACTGCCAGACCCGACTTGAAACTTGCGGCTGGCATCGGGGAGTTTCATTCTGCACTGGCGCAATAGCCTTCTTTTTCGGCCAGTTGTATCCAGTGTTCCTCTCTTCATTTTGGTCCAAACTCATACCTCAAATGCAAAACCAAATTCACGAAGAACAAGCGAGCCCAGATGTACAGTACTCGCTGGGGCCGTTGATTAGCTGACCGAGCTGAGAAAAGAGTGGTGCTTGCGACTCGATTTGTGGCAACCCAGACACCGGGTGGTGCCTTCTTTTGAGGAAGTGTCCCTGCCCCTAGAAACCAGCTGCCAAACAAAGAGCGCACCTTGCTTCCCTTCAAACTCACTCCAGGCTTGGGCCAATGAGAACTCAAGTGCCCAGTGGCACCCCTGTCCAACCAAGCGCCCAGAGGCGCCTCCCTGTCCTCCCGCCCACTGGCATTCTCCGGAGGGATTTGCGTCGGAGAGGGGGAAGAAGGTTCTGAGAACCGTGCTTTACCGCTTTACCCATCAGGTGCCTTCTGATAGACGAGGGGCCAAATGCAATTTGACCGCTGTGGCAACCAGGAAGCGGGCAACAAGTGTACTGGGGGCGGAGAATTGTGGTGTTTTCGCTGTTGGTTCTGTGTTGCATGTTGGCTAACACTCCGTGGCCACTTTGCTTCGAACCCTAGGGTACCCTTTGGCCAAATGGTCTTTCGCATTTCATGGAAAAGGGCAGCTTGCTGAGCGTGCCCAGCATCGACTACAGCCAAGTCGAGTTGGAACTGGTAGCGGAGCCCGTGGGCTCGATCAGGAACTTTGAGAAGGTCCTAAAGTCGGAAGAGAAGAAGACGCCGGTCACCTCGGAGGGTGGCCACAACCCAGAATGAGCAGCAAAGACGTTCCCGGATGGGACGGAGAGCAGAGCGGCTGGTATGACTTTGTTCGCAGGACCCGGCTATTCTTTGAGCGCACGCCTGTGCACAAGAGGTACCTGGTGGGGCCGGAGATAGCATCCAAGCTGTCAGGAAAAGCTTGGACCATCACGCACGAGCTGGACTTTGAGAAGCTCACCAAGGACGACGGCACGGCCTATCTCTTAAAGTATCTCGAGCACCGCCTGTGCAAGACTCCCGTGCCAGAAACGGGGCAGAAGCTCGAGGAGCTCTTCATCAGGCTTCGGCGACCTCAAGGAATGGCGATGGCTCAATGGGCCACGGAGGTGAGGGAAGCATACAAACGCCTCCAACGGGCGCTGGTGCGGACAAGGAAAGCAGCCGGAAGATTGAAGTTGCCCGCCGAGTCAACTACGTCAAAGAGGACGACGCAGGAACCAGAACCCGACCGTGGTGATTCTCTGGATCAGGAGATCATGGCTACACCGTCCTCGAGGGCGCCGAGAACCACACCTACGGCGAGCCCAACGAGACCCGGTGGTGGTGAACCTGGCGAAGATGTTGGTCCTGCGGAAGATGTTGATTCGGGAGTACCTGAGGGCAATGATGGAGAAGGAGCTGAAGGGCAAGGCGATGATCCCTGGTGGCAGGATGATTCCTGGTGGTGGTCATCACGCTGGTGGGAGACCCAAGATGAGGAAGCGGACTGGCAGGCCTGGGACGATCCTGGAGAAGCAACCGTCAAGTGGGATGAGTTCGAAATTGAGGACATGGAGATCCTGCCGGATGAAGTTCTTGGGTGGCTACTTCTCAGACGAGCCGGACTCCCAGCGTCGGCTCGACTCAGTGTGCAGTCGGCCACTCAGAACTCTCTGCAGTTCGCCGACATCGAGCGTGCGATGAGAGACCAGGAGGAGGAGCTACTTCAGGCTGAACAACAGCGAAATCAGCGGTACGATAACCGGCCACGGAGAACCTACTGGGTGGAAGAACAAGGCCAGTGGGGCTTGGTCAATGACGTGGCTGAGGAGGAGGAACCGCAGAGCATCATGTGGGTTGGTGATAAACTACCTGCTGAAGTATATCAAGTACAGGAGCCGGAGACCTATGGTAACCATGGTGGTGGAGCAGTGAGCCAGGATTGGGTCACGTATGCAGATGGTCAGATGTATCACTGGCAATGGCATGATGACGACTTCTGGGCGGAGGACGCTGATGGAATCTGGTGGGCCTGGAGTGAGACAAAGCCATGGATGGAAATCCAAGAGGCAATGATGGTGTCCTCGGATGACCCGCTTCTCAACGAAGTAGCCGAGGTGTACCAGGTCTACAACAACAAGATGCGGACCTTTCGGGAGTCAAAGAACATGGCCCAGCAAGCTCGAACTGGTCGTGGTTTCTTCCCGATCCACCAGAAAGGCTCTTTCAAGGGGAAGAAGGGCAAAGGCGGTGGAAAGTCAAAGTTTTCATCTGCCACACCAATCATGGCAGTGGAAGGAAAGGGGAAGGGCTACGGATCAGCCAAGGGAGCTCAGCGCGTGGGCAATCCAGGATTCACTGGATGCTTCATCTGTGGGGACAAGCAGCATGAGTTCCGGAACTGTCCCAAGCGCAACAACATGGGCAAGGGCTCCGGAAAGGTGAACGCGATCTTCATGGTTGAGGACATCAAGGACGAGACTCCCATGGAGATCTATATGACGAACATTGGTCCGGATGGTTACGACTATGGAGCGGACAGTCCGAGAGTGGAGTCGGTGGACCCCGCGTACTCTTTGCAGACGGCATTCCCTGGTCACGCTGTTCTGGACTCGGGAGCCACTGAGACTGTGGGCTCTCTGGAGGCTATCCAGGAACTGATGGCCTTGCGGCAGGCGAAGTTCGGTCCAGAGCACTTCGAGGTTCTCTCCACCAACGGCAAGAGTTTCCGTTTCGGGAATGGCCAGACGCAGTCAGCCGCCAGCTACCTTCTACTACCGCAGAAGCTCAACGGTGTGGACTTCCTGCTGGGAGTCTACACGCTGGACCATGTGGGACGTGTTCCCCTACTACTTTCGGTGAAGACGTTGCAACGTTTGGGCGCGGTGGTAGACTTCGAGGAGGCAAAGCTTTACCTTCGAGTGATCGGGGGAGATTTTCCGATTCCTTTGCAGCGAGCCGAAAGCGGCCATCTTCTTTTGGATTTAGCAGCTGATTGGACGAGTACAGCCGGAGGTGAGAATCACACCCCTGTCCGGCGCCAACAGATCTTGTCCGACACCCGAGCATACATGGTGCGACTGAAGGGGGTTAGAGATGAGTTTCTTGGGGAAATTGATGAGCATGAACCAGATCAGGGGAGCGATGTGAAGGTTGGCGATCAATGGAATCCTTCATGGTTGAGACAAACGCCATCCAGAGCTATTTCAAGTTCCATGAATTCCATAGAGTCGGCCCTCGGAATCGCCTCGCCTCAGTCCAGCCATGTCGGAGACCTCGGATGCGGGATTCGTGAAGGTGGACGCGGAGGACTCGCCGAAGGTGATGGATCAAAAGCCAAAGGCGAAGAGCAAGGCAAAAGGGAAGTCGACAGCCAGCAAGGCAAGGGTGCCGACGCCGGAGAAGTACGACCTCTCCAGAGCGACTGGACCAGATCCTCGGGACCCTCGGTGCCAAGGTCCTCCTTGTCATGGACATCATCGGGAGATGAAGGAGGGCAAGGGATCGCTGTCAGGCCGAAATGGGCATGGCCTATGGAAGGTTTGCAGCGACTGTCGACTTCGCATACTGTATGCCCCCGCCTACGGAGCACACGGACATTATCGCCAAGCAGGCCCTCTACCGGTGGACACGCAGACGGTGGTGGAAGAAGAGATTGCGACGATCAACGAGATGACGTCCAAGGAGAAGCTCAATTCGAAATCGGTGGCTCTTCGAGGAGCAGAAAAGTCACTGGAGGACAGGCTGCAGAAGATCAGAGAACAAAAGACCAAGGTGGTGGCTCAGGATCGACCGGGAGTGGTGATCGCGACCGACAGCAAGAAGGCGGTCAAGCGGAACAACCAGGAGTCGCCGGAGACCTTGGAGGGCAAGAGCATTGGAAGCGCTGGATACCCGACGGAGTGAACGTCGACCTGGACGAGGAGGGCTACCTGCAGATGGAGGAGGAGCTCCTGGAGGAGGACAAGACCTTTCTCATCCAGGCGGTTCGGGAGTACGAGGAGGATATGGAAGAGATCTACGTGAACATGCCAAAGGAGCTGGAGTCCCAGTGTGAGCTCATGGAGGTGTGTTGTCCGGAGACGAGCAGGCTCACGGAGACCTTCAAGAGAAGAGGAAAAGGCGCACTACGCCTGGGCCTGCCGGACGACTTGAGCACTCGAGCCGGTCTTGAGAAAGGGCTACAGATGATGCGAGAAAAGAGGCCCAGGATGGTTTGGTTCTCACTGCCCTGTGGACCGTATAGTCCCATTCAGGCTATGTTCAATGAGAAGGACGAGATGGCTTGGTGGAAAAGTCAGATGAGGAAGAAGAAGAGTCGGAAGCTCATTCGCCACGGCCTGATCATGGCGAGAGAACAGCTACGTCTTGGAGGAGACATTGCATGGGAATGGCCGCGGCTGAATGGAGGTTGGACGTTGCCGGAGGTGCGAGCTTTCTTCCTGGAACTGGATCAGAGACATCTCCTACATGTGGCACGTCTGGATGGATGCATGGTGGGCGTCAAGGCAGAGACGGGAGAAGCCATGAAGAAGCCGTGGACTATAAAGACGACCAGTCCAGGTTTGGCTATGGCCTTGAGCAGAAGATGCTGTGGAGACCACGATCATGTAGAATGTCTGGGACATGGTCGGGCCACGCAGAGCGGATTCTACCCCCAACAGATGTGCGACTTGATCTATCGCGAAGTATGCCTACAAGCGCCTCGCGAACAACAAGTAGAAAGAGATGTTCTCATGGCCGAGCTCTACCCCGTGATGGACGTGCCGGACAAGGGATTGGAGAGTCTGGAGCAGGAGAACAAAGGGCTGGCATCATGCTTGAGACACCGTGGTGTGAGAAAGGAGGTGGTGCAGATGGCCACAAATTATCAGTGTCCAGACTGTCAAGAGATGAGATTGGCAGATGTGGCACCAGCTGTGTCTCTACAACGAGAAGGAGTTCTCTGGAAGACGATTGTGCTCGATGGGGCCGAGATCAAGTATGGAGACACGGTGGTCCATGTGATCATCATCTTGGACGAGGCCTCAAAGTATGCGGTAGCCGCCGGGATCTTTCGGAGGAACGCCGAGGAGTCTCGGAACACAACCGCTGAAGAGATGGTGAAGGCCTTGGAGACGCATTGGACCATGCACTATGGACTGCCGAGCAAGGTTCGACTAGATCCTGAAGGTTCGTATCGATCCAATCTGTTGCTGTCCTGGTGTGAGGACAGGGGCATCGAATTGATGCCATGTGCTGCAGAGGCCCACGAGCAGATTGGCGAGGTTGAGTCGCTCATCCGGAAGCTCAAGCAAGATGTGCGGACGGTTCTGAACGGCCAGGAGTCGGTAGACCCGTTCGGCGCACTGACTTCAGTGGTGGCTGCCCACAACACCATGGAGAGGGTGCAAGGTTTCTCACCATGCCAATGGGTGTTTGGGAGGCAGTTCACTTTGTCTGGGAGGCTGTTTGATGATGGTATGGAGGATTCAATTTTTGGGTCCCAAGGCACTCCTGGACACTCTATGCAGAAGAATTTGCAGCTGCGGTTGCGTGCGGAAAGTGTGTACAGGAAAAGTCAGGCCCAAGACAAGATCTCAAGAGCCTTGAATACGCGAGGACGACCTCAAGCTCGTTTCCTGCCGGGGGACTTGGTCTATTACAAGAGGGTGAAACCACCAGCTGATTCGCCGGCCAACCTCATGGTGAGTCAGAAGTTGTGGAGATGGTGGGGACCTGCAAGGGTTCTCGCCACGGAGACGAGAACAGATCTGGCAGGAGAAGAGAGGAGGCCACACAATGTGGTGTGGATTGTCACCGGTGCCCGCTTGAAGAGATGCGCGCCTCATCAGCTTAGGCATGCAAGTGAGCGTGAGAAGGCCATCGCAGATCATGTGGATTCTCCGGTTGCCTCGTGGACGTTTCACAGCTTGCTGCAGGGTGTTGAGAGCGGCCAGTATGATCGCTTCGACAACCGCATGTTTCCTGAGGATCTGGAGATGCGGAGGTTTGCGAAGCAGCATCATCTCGAGAGGCGACGGTCCAGAACCCCTAGTAGGCAGGTCGGAGTAGCCTCTGGAGTAGATTCTGAAGAAGAAGACTTGTACAAGAGCCGAAAAAGAGGACTTGCTGTCCCACGGACTGATGCGGAGACACGGCCACTCCCAAGTGCATCAGCTCCTAAGACTCCAATAAGAGGCCATGTAGAGCCCAGTGAAGTCAGCCAGGATGAAGGAGCACATCCGAGAGGCAGACTTCAGCAAGAACAGCATCAAGAGGCAAAAGATCCGAAGAGGCCCAAAAGGTTTGAAACGACCGTCACTGTAGCGCAAGATCGCTATAGGATTGAGGTAGAGCCCCTTAGCCAGGTAGAGGCCGAAGCCATGGAACGAGGCTCTGGATCTACCGCAGCCGGGGAGACAGGCGAGCTCTTTGGCCAGCCACTATTTCAAGCTCAACAGGAGAGGCTCGCAAGACCGAAGGTTGGGCGTCCCCGGAAACCAATGCCAGAGAGACCGACCCTTGAACGAGGGTACGTGATTGAGAACCTGAACGAGGAGCAGGACGGTGGCGCCATTTTGGAAGCAACTGATCCTGAGAATGTCGCAAACGGCTACTTCGTTGAGCTGGAGATGGATATGCCGGAGAACCGGAAGCAGTGGAAGTTACTCCAGAACGCGCCGGAGGCGTTCTATGTGAAGAAGATCCGTGGAGCTGAGGTCAATGTGAACCAGCTCACTGAGCAGAAGAAGAAGGAGTTTGACGAAGCTAAGGAGGCAGAGATTTCGCAGTGGTTGCGCAATGAGGCAGTGCGGAGAGCCTCAACGGAGGTGGATTCAGCCAGATGCATTCGCATGCGGTGGGTGCTGACTCTGAAGGAGACTGGCAAAGCAAAGGCACGCATTGTGCTTCTGGGATATGAGGATCCAGATGCGCATACCGGGACTATCACATCGGCATCACCAACGATGAGCAGGAGAACAAGACAGCTCCTGTTGCAGTTCAAGGTGTGCCGCTCATGGAGAGCGTTGAAGGGAGACGTGAAGGCAGCGTTTCTGCAAGGCTCGGCTTCTGAGGCCGGACGCAGTTTGTTTGCACGACCCTTACCTGAATTGTCTCGAGCTATGGGACTAAAGGAAGGGGAGTGTGTGCAAATCATGAAGAGCTGTTATGGTTTGATAACAGCACCGGCTTCATGGTACGCGGACGTGGCCGCCACTCTGGAGAAAGCCGGACTGGAAAGGTTGGTAACAGACCCCTGTTGCTGGAGGTTTTGCACGAGTGGTGTGGACGGTGCCAAGGAAACACAAGGACTTGTATGTGCTCATGTGGACGACTTCATCGTCATCGGCAATGAGCAGTGTGAAGCCTGGATGGACGCCATGCACATCTTCCACGATCGCTACCAATGGAGTGACTGGGAGCATGGCACCTTTACTCACTGTGGTGTGGTGCTACGGGAGAATGAGGACCTCTCGGTCACGCTGGACCATTCCAAGTTCGTGGAGAGCTTGGAGCCGGCCATTTTTGAGGCCCGGGACGATGATTCTCCGGTAACGGAGAAGGAGCGCAGTCAACTCAGAGGACTTCTTGGTGCATTGCAATGGCGGTGCTACAATACGGCGCCACAGCATGCAGCAAGGTTGTCTTTGATTCAGTCGGAGGTCAACACCGCGACCATCGCGACTGTGAAGGCAATGAATAAGTTGCTACGTGAAGTGCAACAGCAGAGACAGATCTCTGTGAAGGTGAACGCGCTTCACTGCCCGGCTGAGGATGTGGAGTTCTATGGTTGGTGCGATGCGGCGGTTGGAAATCGCAAGGACTATGGCAGCACCGGCGGCTATGTGATTGCCGCTACCACTCCGGGCATGGACAAGGGCGAGAACTCGCCATTGACGATTGTGGCATGGAGGTCAGCCAGACTTCCTCGGGTGGCGAGATCCTCGCTAGGCGCTGAGTTGCAAGCCATGAGTGAATGTGAGGAAGAGCTGATGTTCACCCGGTATCAGTGGGGTGAGCTCTTAGGCATGGACATCCCTCCTGCAGAGATGACGAAGGCATTGCAGGCGGTGAAGGGCACGCTGGTCACGGACGCCAAGAGTCTCTATGACGTGGTGAAGCGTGGTGACCTGAATTCGGCAGGCGCCGGACTGAAAGAGAAATACTCAACCCTAGAGTTTCTCTCACTGCTGGAGAGGCTGAAGACAGGCCGAACAGCTGTGAGATGGGTGCACAGTGATGCACAGCTGGCAGACGCCCTGACGAAGCCACTGGCTCAGGGCGGATCTTTGAACAAGGTGCTGTGTGAGCATCGCTGGAGTGTGGTGTTCGATCCAAACTACACTTCAGCGAAGAAACGCAAGGGCACGGAGTTTAAGCCAAAAAGATAGTGGCGTTGTGGTGTTTTCGCTGTTGGTTCTGTGTTGCATGTTGGCTAACACTCCGTGGCCACTTTGCTTCGAACCCTAGGGTACCCTTTGGCCAAATGGTCTTTCGCATTTCATGGAAAAGGGCAGCTTGCTGAGCGTGCCCAGCATCGACTACAGCCAAGTCGAGTTGGAAGAGAAAGGGGCAAAGAGACGCTAACCGGTCTCTTTCTGTTGAAGTATGACTGTGGATCGTTTGGAAACAGATGCTTTGCAGGAAAACCTAAAAACGTTAGACCTTTTGCTGGGGGGGGGGGGCTTCGGAGTAACCCAGGGAACATCATCAGTTTTCCCTGAGAGTTCCTCCAATGATTTGCAACCAGGATTCGAGCGTTTGTTTCGTCCAACGGGGGTATTCGGCCGCCTTTGAACTCCGCCTCGCGCAGGCCGTGTCAGAGTTCGGGGGCGCACAGTCCATGTGAGCTCAGTCGGTGTGCGGAACAAAACAAACGCGGACTGGGACTTGCCCAGTGGGTAATGGCTGACCTTTGTGTGATGAAACACCACCATTTTCTTGTGTCTCCAAAATTATCCTTGATTTGGGACTGGATGCATGAACCATAATTTTGACATATTCATGTTGGGGTGCCGTGGCTTTGGGCCAAGATAGTTATATATATATATAATATATGCATATGTATATACAATATATGTATCTCTCTCGTCATGGGGAACCTTCCCATTATCTTCAGTGATCCTTATCTCCAACAATCCGCCAGACCAGGAAACACGGTTTCAACAGCAAAAAGCCATGATTGATGCATAGGAGTGGGGGCATCTTAAATCATAGAGGGGTCAAATTCTGGAAGAGGTGAGCCCTCAACAGGAGCCTCGGAAAGGCAACTCGACTACTCCAAAATGGGTGATATCCAGTTGACATGTTTGTTTTCTTTTGAACCCCCGGAAGTGTATCTTAAGCATTGACAGCAATATCATTGCTGGTCTTTGGTGTGACCGAATCGCCCCTTAGACCTTTCAGCAAAACATGTGCTTTTACTAATCCTACAACGGCCTTTTTGCTCCGGAGAGAAAGCAACCCAAACTTCTCCGGCCCTTTTTGATCAACCAGCGCCCGTTTGTTCATCCAAGGAACCCCAACCCCCGCCCCCTCGCTTTCAAAAGGGTTTCTTCACCCGTAGCGCCCCTGGATACGCCTGGGAGGCGTTAGGGGGTGCTTTGTAGCATCGGCATTCACATGGTACCAAGGCTGTCCGGTCTTGTTGTGGGTTGTTTGGGTTGTTTGGTTGGTTGCTTTGTTTGCTTGCTTGCTTGCTTGCTTGCTTGCTTGCTTGCTGGTTTGCTTGCTTCCTGGCTTGTTTGGTTGGGTTTAGTTTGCTTTTGCTTTGGTTTTATTTTGCTTTGTTTTGGTTTGGTTGTTTGTTTCAGCGCTTGGCTTTCTCAGCTCCAAGGTCTGTTGGCCAATTCGGATCATGTCGGCTTTTGTTTGCCTCCAGATCCTTTGGCACGCCGCAACTTCCCAGCTTTCTGATCCGGGTATGCGTGAAAACTGGGGTCCCCAACTTGGTTCCCCTTCAACATCCCTGCAAAAGGGTACCCTCAAAAATGGCGCGCGCGTGCGCCGCGCACACACAAACATATCTATTCCAGGGGTTGTTTCTCCAATGTTTCTCCATGTGTCTCAACCATCGTTCTTTTCGACAGAAGCCGGCTGGTTTCCCCGAGTCTTTCTTGCGTGGTTTTCCGGAAGGGATGATTTCTCAGATGCTTTTTGGGCAAATTTTTCCAGGCTTCCCTGCGCGTTTGCCACACCAAAGACAGGGGTGTTGGCCTTGACGGATGCTGACCTCGTGGGTATGCTGGAAGGGGAACGTCCACAAGGTTAGTCCTGACATCCATTCGCTGGCCAGCTATTGATTTGGGGCTAATTTGAGATGCGTGGCAACCGCACCAGTGCAATACCCAAAAAGGTGAAAGCCATTAAACACAAGAACACCGCATGAAGGGGGGGTGGTCCAGGGGCCCAGGTGCAGCCCCACGAAGACTATACTGCGCGGTTTGTGCGCAGCGTCCCCTCACGGGAAAGGGCCCATTGGTTCAAATCGAAACCCAGAGCATCATTTTTTGCCCTGCCCTTCGACAGGAAAACACACCATCAGATTGGTTCTTTGCGTTCTTGTTGACACTCCTGGGGAACACCGAAAGGCGTTCCGTCTGACGAACCCATCGGCCGCAACTCCATCGTTTGGGCTCAGTGAGATTCGTGGAACGCCTATAAGCCGCCAGCGAAGGTGCGAAGGTTGATGTCCATCCTTATTGGCTCAAGCATGGGGACTAGACAACTAGCATGGGCTTGTGGGTCAAGGTATACGGAACACAAGGAAAACGGGTGCCACTAAACAACTAAATAACATCCATGCCAGGCACCACTTGGAATGGAACCCAGTTGAACTCACTGGCTAGACAATCACACGCAATTTCAGCCCCACGGATTCTTCAGGGCATGTGCTGAGGCGTGCACAAATGGCTCCACCCTTGTTCGGTGATTTACACACCACCTGTAAGAAGCCAATGAAATGTGAGCTTTCTTTAAGTGTGGCGGTGTTTAAGGGGGAAATATATATATGTCTATATATCCCACTCCAATGGTGCCATTCCCCGCATCCCTGAACGGGGTCGATTTTAGCCACTCGGAAGGGCTCATGAAGTTCCGTTTTCTACTTTTTTCTTGGGGAAATTCTCGTGGTAGGATGCATACTGCGCTACCTACCAGCTGCTGGATTGTGTCCATCCACAGCATTCCACCTTGCAGGCTGGGTGGTGTCGTTTGGCGGGATGGTTGGGGTTAGAAAAGCTCTGTGACCAAATCGGGGGGCGGGCGTTTTGGAAGAACTGGTTAGGTTCCTTCCGAACCCTCCTTTGGAGCGCTTTGAAGTCAGAAACTTCAGGTTGGGGATACCGGTGTCAATTGACTGCTTCCTGTAGGATAATACTTCTGTCATTGTATGCTCGAATGGCTAGACGCGTGCCCGAACAATACTATTTCATACTTGCATCCATGTGATTTTGGCGCATCTAGTTCCGTTGGCCCCTGTCGTCTTCAGGACTCGCAACGGGAACCGAAAGGCCTCGCACTATTTCCGAAAGTTGGCTCACATGACGGCACTATGCTGGTAGAGTCACTGAGCAAGGGCCTTCCTTGTCTGAGGATGCGAGGAACGGTCAACAGTTGGGATCGTGGTTTAAGAAAAGGGGACAATCTATGGTCTTTTCATTGCCCTAGCTGCCCAGGCCTCGCTCTCTAATTTACCCCTGGGGCAGCTGGGGCACCCAACTTGTCACGTTACACTTTGACTCCCTGAAGGTGGATGCTTGGACCCACCCTCTTCCAAAAACTGCCGCAAGCCGCAAGTAGCCGGAGATTCCCTCGTCACGTTTCGCTTTTCGCTCCTCACTGTTTTGCGCGTTTCGCGTTCGCCTTCGTGCTTCGGCCTTGGCGCAGCCGAGATAAGCTCAAGGGCATTTGCCAGCACTGCTTCTCTTGCCTCTTTGGATTGGTTCCCTGCCATGGCGGACGCAAACACGCCGCCTGCACCCAAAAAACTCGGACATGTTTGGAGATGATTGTGGGTTTGCTGTTTATTAAATAGAGGGACCAGAATTGGACAGAAACCATGGCTGGGGATGAAGGTTGAGGTAGAAAAGGCTCAGCCGGATCAGTGTTGTTTTGCTTTCCCATTTTGGGTCAAGGTGACCCAAAGGGCGATCTCAACCGTTGGAAGTTTACGGTTTCAGAAAAGGTTCCGACTCCATTTGGATCTCGCCCTGCCGCTGTTCTTCTTGAACTTCACTTGAGCCACAGTCAACACCGGGGTAAGTGAAGATAAGGGTCAGGATCGGCCATAAATCCATTGACTCACAACAAGGCCTTTGCCAAGGAAGGGCTAGTTGCCGAGTCCCTTTGAGGAGAACTGTGGATGTAGTGGGCGCCGTCCTTTAAACCATCTGGTTTGAATGCCGATTCTGGGGTCTCGTCAACTGACTATTTCGTATTGAAGGCTAAGTATGAAACAGACTGGACACACATGCGGGCCAAGGATTGTTGAAATGACCTTAGCTCGTTGAACCACAGCGCTGGTTCCAGTTCTTTGCTCGGTCTCAACAAGGAGGTGTGCCTTTAAAGGGGTAGATTCCTGTAGCGTCGGTTCGGTTTTGCACGGCCTCTTGCAGGCAGCCCGAAACGGGGATGCAGGAGACCTCGTTCACGACTCCCCCCCAGATGACATGTTGGAGGGACGCGTCATGAACCCCGGTCGGTGACATGTTGGGAGGAGTCCTGGATATTCAGCCCACTGTTGGTGGCTTGTTGGGAACACGTTCGTGAATTCCTGCTTAGATGACACGCTGGGAGGAACTTTCAATATTGTGGACCCGCAAAGATGAGATGTTGGGACCAGAGCCGTTCATCAATCACTGCACCATGATGACATGTTGGGAGGAACCCCGTTGATGCACGACCCAAACACGACTTGTCAGAGAACACAATGAATCCAGGCAGAATCCAGCTGCTGAGGGAAGAATGGGGTTGCAACGAGTGAGCTTTTGGGCGCAGGTGAGTTCTAGGGATGCAACTCCCTAGGTTTTCCGGCGTTTGTGGTCGGATCTGTGATGATTCGAATTGGGTTTGATTCTTGAAATATCTTGTCTAATAGTTTTAATTTCCCTTTTGGAAGGATTGGACACTGGAATTGCCGACCCCGAAATCCCTTCCGACCTTCCTGAGCTCACGTGGCCACGTTGAACACCAATCCAGTTCATGTGTTGTTGACCAAGCCACTGATTTTGTTTAAAAAAACAAAAGAAGAAACAAAAAGAAAAAGCCGCAACCAAGAGCCGAGGATCGACCTCGACAGCCTCTCACTCCAAGAGCTCCATGAGGCGAACAGATGCCGGCCCTGCCTCTTCTTCACGCGCAAGGAGGACGGCACCGAAGTTTGAGATCGAACTTGACAATCGGCCCGCGGCTCCCCGACACTTCTCGGGTCTCGGGTCTCGGGTCTCGGGGTCTCGGGTCTCGGGTCTCGGGTCTCGGGTCTGGGGTCTCGGGTCTCGGGTCTCGGGTCTCGGGTCTCGGGTCTCGGGTCTCGGGTCTCGGGGTCTCGGGTCTCGGGTCTCGGGTCTGGGGTCTCGGGTCTCGGGTCTCGGGTCTCGGGTCTCGGGTCTCGGGTCTCGGGTCTCGGGGTCTCGGGTCTCGGGTCTCGGGTCTGGGGTCTCGGGTCTCGGGTCTCGGGTCTCGGGTCTCGGGTCTCGGGTCTCGGGTCTCGGGGTCTCGGGTCTCGGGTCTCGGGTCTCTCGGGTCTCGGGTCTCGGGTCTCGGGTCTCGGGTCTCGGGTCTCGGGGTCTCGGGTCTCGGGTCTCGGGTCTTGGGTCTCGGGTCTCGGGTCTCGGGTCTCGGGTCTCGGGTCTCGGGGTCTCGGGTCTCGGGTCTCGGGTCTCGGGTCTTGGGTCTCGGGTGTCGGGTCTCGGGTCTCGGGTCTCGGGTCTGGGGTCTGGGGTCTCGGGTCTCGGGTCTCGGGTCTCGGGTCTCGGGTCTCGGGTCTGGAATCTCGGGTCTCGGGTCTCGGGTGTCGGGTCTCGGGTCGGGTCTCGGTCTCGGATCTCGGGTCTCGGGGTCTCGGGTCTCGGGTCTCGGGTCTCGGGTCTCGGGGTCTCGGGGTCTTGGGTCTCGGGTCTCGGGTGTCGGGTCTCGGGTCTCGGGTCTCGGGTCTGGGGTCTCGGCTCTCGGGTCTCGGGTCTCGGGTCTCGGATCTCGGGTCTCGGAGTCTCGGGTCTCGGGTCTCGGGGTCTCGGGGTCTCGGGTCTCGGGTGTCGGGTCTCGGGGTCTCGGATCTCGGATCTCGGGTCTCGGGTCTCGGGGTCTCGGGTCTCGGGGTCTCGGGCTTCGGGTCACGAATTTCGAATCTAGGGCGCGCGTAAGCGGGCGTGCTTACTATTTGGCGGGCGCAGTGCTGAGCGGGTGCACGTGAGAGGCATGTATACAGTGCTGAGCGGGCTCGGGTCTCGGGCGTCGGGGTCTCAGATCTCGGGTCTCGAGTCTCGGGTTTCGGATCTTGGGTCTTGGGTCTCGGGTATGTGTACAGTGCTGAGCGGGTGCGCATGAGGGAGCGTTTGGCAGGCATGTGGCGCAGTCTGAGCGGGCTCACGTGAGCGGGCGTGCTTACCATTTGGCAGGCGTGGGCGCAGTGCTGAGCGGGTGCAGGTGAGCGGGTGTGCTCACCATTTGGCAAGCATGTGTGCAGTGCTGAGCGGGTGCACGTGAGCGGGCGGGCGTGCTTGTCATTTGGCAGCAGAGCGAGCGGGTGGCTGAGCGGGCGTGTTTGCCATTTGGCAGGAGCGGGTGTGCTGACCACTTGGCAGGCATGTGTGCAGAGCTGAGCGGGCGGACGTGAGCGGGCGCGCTTACCATTTCGCAAGCATGTTCGCAGTGCTGAGCGGGTGCACGTGAGCGGGCGTGCTTACCATGCTCTCCAGCACACTTCCCCGGCACACTCCCCCGTCCGGGCACACTCCCCCGGCACACTGCCCCCACAGAGCAGGCGCACTCCTCCAAGTACAGTGGCAGGCATGGGTGCACTGCTGAGCGGGCGCAGGTGAGCGGGTGTGCTCACCGTTTCGCATGTCCGCAGTGCTGAGCGGGTTCGCGTGAGCACTGTATCCATGCCAGGCACAGGGTAAGAACACCCGTTCAAGTGCGCCCGCTGAGCATCCATGCCAGGCACATGGTAAGAACACCCGCTCAAGTGCACCCGCTCAGCACTGTATCCATGCCAGGCACATGGTAAGAACACTTAGCACTGTATCGATGCCAGGCACATGGTAAGAACACCCGCTCAAGTGCACCCGCTCAGCATTGTGTCCATGCCAGGCACAATGGTAAGAACAACCGCTCAAGTGCACCCGCTCAGCACTGTGTCCATGATAAGGCTCAAGTGCACCCGCTCACCACTGTATCCATGCCAGGCACATTGTAAAAACACCCGCTCAAGTGCACCTGCTTAGCACTGTATCCATGCCAGGCACATGGTAAGAACACCCGTTGAAGTGCACCCGCTTAGCACTGTATCGATGCCAGGCACATGGTAAGAACACCCGCTCAAGTGCACCCGCTCAGCATTGTGTCCATGCCAGGCACATGGAAAGAACACCCGCTCAAGTGCAGTCGCTCAGAACTGCATGCCAGGCACATGGTAAGAACACCCGTTCAAGCGCACCCGCTTAGCAATGTATCCATGCCAGGCACACGGTAAGAACACCCGTTCAAGTGCACCCGCTTAGCACTGTACCCATGCCAGGCACAGAGTAAGAACATCCTTTCAAGTGCACCCGCATAGCGCTGTATCCATGCCAGGCTGTATCCATGCGGGTGTTCTTACCATGTGCCTGGCATGGATACAGTGCTAAGCGGGTGCACTTGAACGGGTGTTCTTACCATGTGCCTGGCATGGATACAGCGCTAAGCGGGTGCACTTGAACGGGTGTTCTTACCATGTGCCTGGCATGGATACAGTGCTAAGCGGGTGCACTTGAATGGGTGTTTTTACCATGTGCCTTGCACGCATGCAGTGCTAAGCGGGTGCACTTGAGCGGGTGTTCTTACCATGTGCCTGGCATCGATACAGCGCTAGGCGGGTGCGCTTGAACGGGTGTTCTTACCATGTGCCTGGCATGGATACAGTGCTAAGCGGGTGCACTTGAACGGGTGTTCTTACCAAATGCCTGGCATGGATTCAGTGCTCAGCGGTGCACTTGAGCGGGTGTTCTTACCATGTGCCTGGCATGGAACAGCGCTATGCGGGTGCACTTGAACGGGTGTTCTTACCATGTGCCTGGCATGGATACAGTGCTAAGCGGGTGCACTTGAACGGGTGTTTCTTACCGTGTGGCTGGCATGGATACAATGCTAAGCGGGTGCGCTTGAACGGGTGTTCTTACTCTGTGCCTGGCATGGGTACAGTACTAAGCGGGTGCACTTGAACGGGTGTTCTTACCGTGTGCCTGGCATGGATACATTGCTAAGCGGGTGCGCTTGAACGGGTGTTCTTACCATGTGCCTGGCATGCAGTTCTGAGCGACTGCACTTGAGCGGGTGTTCTTTCCATGTGCCTGGCATGGATACAGTGCTCAGCGGGCGCACTTGACTGGCGTCGATAGAGTGCTAAGCGGGTGCGCTTGAACGGGTGTTCTTACAATGTGCGTGCCTGGCATGGATAGAGTGGTGAGCGGGTGCACTTGAGCCGGTGTTCTTACCATGTGCCTGGCATGGATACAGCGCTGAGCGGGTGCACTTGAGTGGGTGTTCTTAACGCGCCTTGCATCGATATAGTGCTAAGCGGGTGCACTTGAACGGGTGTTCTTACCATGTGCCTGGCATGGATACAGCGCTAAACGGGCGCGCTTGAACGGGTGTTCTTACCATGTGCCTGGCATGGACACAATGCTCAGCGGGTGCACTTGAGCGGGTGTTCATTACCATGCCTGGCCATCGATACATGCTAAGCGGGTGCACTTGAACGGGTGTTCTTACCATGGCTACATACGTGCGCTGGCATGGATGCTGGGTGCACTTGAGCGGTGTTCTTACCATGTGCCTGGCAATCGATACAGTGCTGAGCGGGTGCGCTTGAACGGGTGTTCTTACCATGTGCCTGGCATGGATACAGGGCTAAGCGGGTGCACTTGAACGGGTGTTCTTACCATGCGCCTAGCAGGGATGCTCAGCGGGCGCACTTGAACGGGTGTTCTTACCATGTGCCTGGCATGGATACAGCGCTAAGCAAGTGCACTTGAACGGGTGTTCTTACCATGTGCCTGGCATGGATACAGTGCCAGGCGGGTGCGCTTGAACGGGTGTTCTTACCATGTGCCTGGCATGGATACAGTGCTAAGCGGGTGCACTTGAACGGGTGTTCTTACCATGTGCCTGGCATGGATACAGTGCTCAGTGGGTGCACTTGAACGGGAGTTCTTACCATGTGCCTGGCATGTCTACAGTGCCAAGCGGGTGCACTTGAACGGAACGGGTGTTCTTACAATGTGCCTGGCATGGATACAGTGCTAAGCGGGTGCGCTTGAACGGGTGTTCTTACCATGTGCCTGGCATGGATACAGTGCTAAGCGGGTGCACTTGAACGGGTGTTCTTACCATGTGCCTGGCATGGATACAGTGCTAAGCGGGTGCACTTGAACGGGTGTTCTTACCATGTGCCTGGATACAGTCTAAACGGGTGCGCTTGAACGGGTGTTCTTACCATGTGCCTGGCATGGATACAGTGCTAAGCGGGTGCACTGAACCTAAGCGGGTGCACTTGAACGGGTGTTCTTACCGTGTGCCTGGCATGGATACAGCGCTAAGCGGGTGCACCTGAACAGGTGTTCTTACCATGTGCTCGGCATGGATACAGTGCTAAGCGGGCGCACTTGAACGGGTGTTCTTACCGTGTGCCTGGCATGGATACACTGCTAAGCGGGTGCGGGCATGCTACACGGGTGTTCTTACCATGCGCCTTGCACGCATGCAGTGCTAAGCGGGCGCACTTGAACGGGTGTTCTTACCATGTGCCTGGCGTGCTAAGCGGGCGCACTTGAACCTAAGCGGGTGCGCTTGAACGGGTGTTCTTACCATGTGCCTGGCATGGATACATTGCTAAGCGGGTGCACTTGAACGGGTGTTCTTACCATGTGCCTGGCATGGATACAGTGCTAAGCGGGTGCACTTGAACGGAACGGGTGTTCTTACCATGTGCCTGGCATGGATACAGCGCTAAGCGGGTGCACTTGAACGGGTGTTCTTGCCATGTGCCTGGCATGGATACAGCGCTAAGCGGGTGCACTTGAACGGGTGTTCTTACCATGTGCCTGGCATGGATACAGTGCTAAGCGGGTGCGCTTGAACGGGTGTTCTTACCGCGTGCCTGGCGTGGACTCAGCGCCCAGCATGCGCACTTGAACGGGTGTTCTTTCCATGTGCCTGGCATGGATACAGTGCTAAGCGGGTGCACTTGAACGGGTGTTCTTACCGTGTGCCTGGCATGGATACAGTGCTAAGCGGGTGCGCTTGAACGGGTGTTCTTACCATGTGCCTGGCATGGATACAGTGCTAAGCGGGTGCACTTGAACGGGTGTTCTTACCGTGTGCCTGGCATGGATACAGAGCTAAGCGGGTGCGGACATGCTACATTTGGTAGTGTTGAACGCTCTCGGGTCTCAGGTCTTGGGTCTCGGGTCTCGGAGTCTCAGGTCTCGGATCTCGTCGGGTCTCGGGCTCTCGGGTCTCGGGTCTCGGGTCTCGGGTCTCGGGTCTCGGGTCTCGAGTCTCGGGTCTCGGGTCTCGGGTCTCGGGGTCTCGAGTCTCGGGTCTCGGGGTCTCGAGTCTCGGGCTCTCGGGTCTCGGGTCTCGCGTCTCGGGTCTCGGGTCTCGGGTCTCGAGTCTCGGGTCTCGGGTCTCGGGTCTCGGGGTCTCGAGTCTCGGGTCTTGGGCCTCGGGGTCTCGAGTCTCGGGTCTCGGGGTCTCGGGTCTCGGGTCTCGGGTCTCGAATCTTGGGTCTCGGAGTCTTGGGTCTCGGGTCTCGGGTCTCGGGTGTCGGGTGTCGAGTCTCGGGTCTCGGGTCGAGTCTCGGCTCTCGGGTCTCGGGTCTCGAATCTCGGGTCTCGGGTCTCGGGGTCTCGGGTCTCGGGGTCTCTGGTCTCTGGTCTCGGGTCTCGGGTCGCGCTCGTTGTCAAGTGCGTTCTGCGAAGTTTGCCGTCCGCTTCGGATCAATCCGGGGTGTGCCACTCAGGGGTGGCCCCCCTAGGAAACTGCATGATCTAGTTTACAGGTCCTCTCAGTGGGCTCCAGACTTGGAGAATGTGAATGGCCCGAGCTGGGCCTGTTCTAGCGGTCAAGGGCACAGCTTCGGTTTTTAGGGCCTGCGCTTATAAGTGGGCACCTGGAGCAACTAGTCCAGGTCTCATGAATCAATGAAGGTCTGAGGTTTATCAACCAGTTCTTGATGGGTCCTCCCAATTTGCGTTCCCTAGACTTGGTCTCCCGTTCTACTCTTGCGAGTCTGATAGGCGATGCGCCCTTGGTTTCCCTTCAAAAGAGCCAAGCCAGGGGTTTGCCGATCCACGAGCCAAGTAGATATGTCCACCAATTTTGGAGGTCGTTCCACCGTTTCACCATGACTCCAGCTTCAAACTCTGGATGGAGCCCTTGAAGATGAAAGCGGACACCAAAGGCCAAGAAATGACTTGTCGCCGATCAGGCGCAAAGGGCGCTTCCACGCCCCGTGCTGAAGGTCCCTGAAGGCGTCTTTGATTCGGGTTGGCGAATTACACCTACTAACTAGCGCAGATTAAATCAACAAAGAAACAGCCTGGGCGAGTGAAATCGCGATCTCACCGAAGGATGTGGTGTGCAACTAAAAGCCCGTGAAATTTCTTGAACACCCCAGTAGATCCCCGAAGAAGGCCGCGGTGAGGCTTGTTTGAGAAACACCACTTAAAGAAGCTCACTCCTCAAGAGCGAACCTTTTCCAAACTGAGGGAAGGGGCAGCGGTTCTTTCAGGAGATAGCGGCCTACCCCAACAAGTGTTTTCTGTTCCCCGTGTTCAAGTCGCCGGGATGATTTCTTCTTCTTCCTTCCTAAAGGTTTTCGCTCTACTTTCCCGTGGTGATCTTGGGGCGAGGTCGCGTCGCAAATGAGCCATGCCATTTGCCGTCAAGGGCGTCATGGACAAGTGTATTGGCTCTTCCTCACTGAGGCGCAGATCCTGGGCCTGACACAGCACGAGCAGTTGTGCCCATAAGGGTAGGAATGAGCAGACTAATTAGCGACCTGGGCAACTACACGGCCCAGAGTGTGAGACCGGGCGACCGAGTGCCTCCAGCCACCAGTTGTCGTCCTCAGCAAAGGCCCAACGAAGTACGGCAAACCGCGGGATGCGGCCAACCTGACTGGTGAGCGCAGTAGCAAGTTGTTGTAGGCTGGCACCGAGCTCCAAGCCGGGTGAAGTTCAAGCCCGAGTATCGGAGAACGACTTCGACGAGTTCGCGAAAGCGCTTGCTGCCAGAAGAGACGTGGGCTTCCAAGTGAGAACCATTCTGAGAGAAACAGCTGGCAATTGCGGCGACACGCCAAACGTTTCCAGCGACACTCGGCTCGCCAGACGCCGGCTCCTGTAGGCCCATTTTGATGCCAGAGCCTGGCTGTGGATTTGCGGCGCGTGTTGCGCGCGGACGACCGCCTTTCCGGCTTCCAGCAGACGCGAAGCCAACCGTGCACTGGCTGTTGTTGTCAAAGTAAATAAGACTTGCTTGTGCTTGTCCCTTCACTGGCTGACTGACCGACCGGCTGGCTGATTGACTGACTGACTGACTGGTTGACTGACTGAATGTCAACTTGGCACGCGAAAATTCGCTGGGTTACTGTGTCATTCGCATTGCGTGCAGGGAAGCAACCAGCAAGAATAATGCGTTTTTTCTTGTGGAAACCCTTGGCTGGGGTTATCAAGCGATTCAATCTGATTTCCTTGTAGCAAAGCCTATATACACCTTTAAAACCATGTTAGCAGAACCCAAAGTCAGTAAGTTTTAAGCAGTTTTTTTAGACGCCCATGTGTGGTTTCAATACTTCTGCCTGCTTACCCCCCAAGGCCCCAAACAAAGGCGGAGCTTTCCTTTTTTCAGATTGATTGCTGGAAAAACATGATTTGGTGCAGGTTGTCCTTTTGGGCACTTGCCACGAGGATGGCTGCTGGAAGGGGGATGCCTGCGACCATTGCCACATTTGCACCAGCCAGCAGGCGAAGGTGCGCAGGAACCGCAGCATGGCTAGACTTACTTAGTGCATGTTTTTGTTTGAGAAGAAGAACATGGTGTCGCATGCTTTTTAGAGGCTCATCCTTTTGCGTGATTTTAAAGGGGAGCCAAGAGAAACAACACCATCTTGGGAGGGGGGGGCGCAAAGACGATATACCCATGTAAAGACATGTACTTAAATAGAGAGACACGTATCTATTTATCCATCATCTATGAGAACCTTTGTATATGCAAATGTGTGTTTTGGTGTTTGTTCTGTGTTTGTTTGTGTGGTTGCTTGCTTGCTTGCTTGCTTGCTTGCTTGCTTGCTTGCTTGCTTGCTTGCTTGCTTGCTTGCTTGCTTGCTTGCTTGCTTGCTTGCTTGCTTGCTTGCTTGCTTGCTTGCTTGCTTGCTTGCTTGCTTGCTTGCTTGCTTGGCTGTTTTGCTTGTTGTTGTTGGCTTGCTTTTGTTGATTTGCTTGTCTTGTTTGCTTGCGTGTTTGCTTGGCTGATTGGTTGCTTCTTTTTGTTTTTGTTGTTTATTTGTTTTTTGTTTGTACTGTTGGCTTTCCTTGTTAAACTGCGAAAGCAAGATGT